AGAGATTCAAACAGGTGTTCATAATGTGTGCAGGGGATATCAGTATGTTTTTTAATATTATTTATATGACATTCTTCCTTTTTCCGTTACAAAAAAATCAGATATTTAGGAAATCCAAAGAATTTTAATGATTTTAGCTGTTCGCCGATATTTCGTTTATTCAGGTTTATTCATATTAACGGCGACCCGGCGGTTTGATTTCCGGAAGGCGCAGTTAACTTACGTTGCTGAATGATCAATGAAATCCTTTTTACGTTCATTCGCACTGTACTTCTAAGAAGTTATCAGTTCCTTGCAAAAGTGAAGACAACTAGTACTGGTAAACTGCTTGACAGCCTGCCCAGGAACGGATGCCAGTGGCTGGACTGTGGTCTGGTGAATTCAATGTGGCTAACAGCCGTGAACCCGGACTAGAAATACCAATATCACCATTGTTAAATATGTTTTAGATAATATGAAGCGCATAGTAAGTTCCTAGTCAACTAATATGACATGTATTATTGGAATATTTAAAAACTGTTGGTTGTTAAAAAATTTACTTATCCGTTAGAAAAATAACCGTTTACATACGGCTTTATTAACCTGCTAAGAATCTTTATAATGAATTCTTAATATTTGGGCATTTTTAGTCATTTTAAGATTTATTAAACAGCTATAAATGTTATCCTATGCAGTTGAATATCAATGTTGTAGTAGAATGTTGAAATGTTGTTCTTTTTGTTAGCTTGCCAACGTTGAATCAAAAACTATAGACAACGGTAAAATACAGGTAAATATGTTGAATGAAAATAAGTTCCTCGACATCGCCTTCGGTAAAATGTGGACACTAGGGATATGTTCCTAGTCCTAGCTGAGGTCAAATGTCAAGCATCGGGACAATGGCAACCTGTTGCGTGTTACAAAGGTAATTATTAAATTTACATAAATTTATAAAAATACAAGTACTGCAATAATGGTCGGAACAGAACTGTGTTTGATTGTCTAGTAACCTCTATAAATATTTAAGCAGTTTTTCTGTCATCAAGTTATACTGCATGGGCTGCTTGCCGGTGGACCTGTGCAACTAGGTCACGTTGGGGTTGTTTTTAGTAAATGCTGCTCTTCCTTGATGATATTGTGTTTCATATATTTTGTACTGTTGTGTAAAAATGGTAAATATAATTGATATACTGCTCAGTACTTATTTGTAATGTTGTATAATTAGAAATGAAAGTTGCCATGCTGTCTTCCATATTTTATACAATTGGTTAATTAAATCAAATAAAGTACCTTTTTTTATTGCCTTAAAGTTTTTTGTTTACCCTGAATAACCATTGTTTTTTTTTGGGTTTTTTTTCACAGGGCACAGAGTATACAATACATAGTTCGTTTAATTATTATAACCAAAGTTATTCATTTAACCCGAAAATACTCCATACCGACATATTATGTCAATATAGAATTTTATTTAGGCGTAAACAATTTTCTTAGATTAGAATTACAACGTTTTTTTTTTCAAAAAATTTTAAATTTTCGGTTTTATAAATTTTTTACACTCGATATAAAACCCAATATGCCCCTGTAACAATTTTATATTTCCCCAAAGAGGGGGTTGTCTTTTGCTGAAAAATTGATGAGATGATTATTTTGTGCAGGGGCAAATAACTTTTATATTTTGAAAGCTTTGTTTCACGTTGAGGGCTTATAATTATGGGGCCGTTGCGCTTTATTTAATTTTTTTTCCCTCAAATGTATCAAGGGTAGGTCCCCAAATTTCCCTATTTTGTTATATTTTTAAATTTTCTTGAAAAATCTTTTATTGCATGGGCTTTAAATCTATATGAACGAATAATATACTATGAGTTTGTAGCTTTAAAAACCAGGTTATTTGGGTAAAGGGCTTTTGTTCGGAAATCATAAGTTATCTATTACCGTGACAGAAAATTCTTATAAATAATAAAGAAGGCATAAAAACATCTAATTAACCTCAGAGACATGATTATTAATCAATATTGTTATAAGCATTTTGGTTGAAAAAATAATGATCAAAAACAGATAAATATGGAAGTAATCGGTGAAATCAGCGAACGGTTACAAATAATTCATGAGGTTTTTTTGTTTTTTGTTTATTTAACATAGCAACTGACTGCAAAGAAATTCTTGATGTGAACCCTGGTGCAGAATCCGGGATGTATGATATAGAACTATGGACATCAGGCACAATTTTAACTGTAAAATTGTGACATGGAAACTGCAGGAGGCGGATGGACGGTATATTCACATACGTTATCGCCATATTATCGTAGACGGTTTTGTAACCTTTTGAGTCATATCGATCAAGTTTTTTATATGCTAGACAAAATGTTACAATTTGTGAACGATACTCCATCACGAATCATCAATTTTATTATTCAACTTATATGCTTGCCTATGTACAATAAGTGATGAAATATATCCCTGACAATTATTTTAGCTTGTGCAAACAAAATCGCATGTGTAAATGTATTGTCTATGGTTCAAAGAAAAGGCACTTCGTCAAATTTTATCAATCCCCATATTATCTGAGACTTGATTATTTATTTGGATTATTTGCTCAATCCTCGTGAGGAGAAGTGTCAGGCTTCTTTGTTTGCACCGCTTTTCTAGCACTTTAAAAAATCATGTGAAATTAATAGTCAAAGATCAGTTGCGGAGAAATTTGATATACCTGTAACTGTTTAATTATCCGGGAAAGATGAAAAGTTTTGTCAACCACCGAGAAAATATGTGTAGATCTGTAGTGTTTTCAGGGCTTTCTTTCGATTTATTTTTCAGATATTTCAAAGACGTATGGATGGGTCGGTTGAGTTTTATCGAAACTTTTCCCCGACTATGATAATGGCATTTGGAAACGCTGAAGGAGAATTGTGGCTAGAAAATGTCAGGAATTATACTTTTTCCCAAAATATTGTAGTTTAAAGCATACATTTGAGGTAAAAAAATTGAATAACATACGTCATTGTATAAGGATTAGAAAGAAATGTGTTAAAACTGTACATGTTTTAAAAGTAAAGCCTAGGGTCACAAATAAGAAAAATGCCACCGGGCAGCGTCCTGTTTCTCAAAAATCGCATAAAAATCGGCCGGCGTCCGTCCGGTGGCAGTGACTATCGGACGGCAGCAGCTGAAATTTTGCTCATCGAGCGTGCGCCTTCGATTTTAAGTAATACTTAAAACCTAACGGCGGCCCGGAACGATAATTTTTGGGGTCACTGAGTATAAATATCATCGAGCGGACATCGTTCGGTCGCTGGGCGGCGACCGTGCGATGATTTTTTTTGATCGGGCGGTTTTTTGTTCTACTTAAACAACGTCCGATTTAAAAGGCGTCCGGGCGGACATCGGCCGGGCCCCGCCCGGTGCCTGAATAGAGCTAATGCCTAGGTCACAAATAAAACGGGCGCCGTCCGATTAAACGATTTTTATAAAAATAATCGGACGGCGCCCGTTTTATTTGTGACCTGGGCAGAACTGTGGGTCTTATTTTACGGCAGAGGCATACTGTTGAACAAATAGATTGTATCACATTGGAAATGAGCACATTGAATGAACCCGATTATTAGCCATTCTAAATTTGATGTTTGATTTACTTATTGTCTTTCTCTCCTTTCCGCCTTCATGGTCCATCAAGTACTTTTAGTTTCAATGAAAAGGTTTTGTTTTAGATTATATCTCTATAAGACTATCCTTAAATTGTTTTATATTTCTTATTGGTTGTGTTTTCTCAGGCCTGAAATATATACAAGAATTAGCTGAACAAGGTACTTCTGAGGTGCGTCTAGACATGACAAATGAAAATAATGGTACAGGGTATGAGACTTTTCAGGAGTTCAGATTAACAGATGGAACAAATTATAAACTCAACATTGGGTCACGTGAGGGATCCACAGGTATGAAAAAAGGAAACAAAATCATATGTTCCGTAACCGTGTCACTACGAAAATGTTAAAAAAACAAATCTAAATATTTACGCGAAAACGGATTCATTAATACTTATTTCTATCTAATAATTTCCTTGATATGTTTTTAGTTGTTGCTGTTGTCAACGTTGTTGTTGTTGACGATGTTGAATAATTAAACTGCTGTAATTTACCTTACTTTGTGTTAGCAAGATAACTATTTGTCATTTAATTAATTTCCTTACAGGCACATAATGCTTTAGGGAAAAATTAATTATTCATTCTCAAAAAAAAGTCAAACATGCGTTATATAAGGCATTTTAGATGCTTATCTTCTAATGAAAGTAGCACAGAATGTGAAATTTATCTGGTATTAAAGTAGCAAAATGTAAACACTTCCATTCAAAAAGCTATATCACTTTTTAACTGCTTGCCAACATGCCGCAGATGTAAATGATTGTTCAGGTATTTGGCCAATGAGTAACTTTTTGAAACTTTAAGAGGAAAGAAATAGAAAAAAGATAAGAGAAATGAAAATTAAAGCATTTTCTGGGGCATAGAAGGCCTTTGATTCTGCACACGTTTGGTATGCTAAAATGTTATCGTTAACAAATGTCATTAGTCTCGACATTCTCACAATAATTGTAGTGTATAGATTATTTCAATTATTCGTATTTGTACTTTACATCTTAACATTATTCAATAATATAAATATTTGGTTTCTAACAGACCTTTGAATTAATTTCACGTAAGATATTTGGTAGCAGGTAGAAGAAATGCTGCTTTTGGAATTATCAAGTCCGCTTTTTAATATCTTTACCCGAGTTTGAGATGGGTTTTTATGTCTTTTTTTTGTTGTTAACTTGTGAATGTGAATGTGATCTAATGGTTTGTAAAAGAAAATCTATTATTATCTGTTTAGGTAATTCTGCATATGGCTTACTCTATCACAAATTTCAACGGTTTTCGACCTTTGACCGTGACTTTGATTCCGCATCAAATCGTAATTGTGCTGTCGATCGACATGGAGGCTGGTGGTATAACGGATGTTCTTACGTAAAACCTGAATGGATTGTATGTGACACCAGGAGGAACATGTGTCATCGCTGGTGCAGAATCAGGGACATGTGGACACCTACATATTGGATTTAACGGCAATAAGGGATTGAGACGTTCTACAATAATGTTGAGAAGAACCTAAATATGCAATGATAATGTCACGTTCAACTCAATTTAAAACATTTATTATAAATGATTATCTTAAACGAAAACAATGTGGACGAATTCATTTGTTTATTTTATGTCAAAAAATATGATGTTGTTTAGGAAATTTTAAAAGTATTCAAAGCATGATAAGATTAAATTACTGGTGGTTTCTTTAAAAAACTTTTTTTTTTCTAATTAATTAAAAATTAAAAAACCCAAAAAAAAATTTTTTTAATATTTTTTTTTGTTTTAAAATAAAAATTTTAAAAAAATAAAATTTTCCAAAAACCAAAAATTTTTTTTATTTTTAAAAATTTAAAAAAAAAATTTTTGGTTTTTTCCAAAACTTAAAAATTTTTTAAAAAAACAAAAAGAAAAAGGAATTATTAAAATTTTAAAAATTTTTTTTCTTTTTTTGGCAAATTTTTTGGAAACAATTTTTCATAAAGAACAACAAAAAAGTTTAAAAAATTTGGAAAAAAAAAAAAATTTTTTGAAAAAGCTAAAACTGTTTTTTTTAATTTTAAACCTGGATTATTCAAGTTAATTTTTTGAACTAGAGTTTAAAAATTCTAAGGCAAAACCGTATTTCTTACAAGAGAAATGTTACCCTAATGATAAATATCAATTTTTGATAGCTTTAAACAACCTCTCGAGTTGAACTTTGAGCAAGCATTTATAATGCAAATTTAGAATGACAATTTTCTTTTATGCCTTATAAAAAATTTTAAAGTTTGTCTAATAAATGTCTCACTTGAAAACAAAACAGCAAATTTTTTGAAGGGGAAAGAAAGAAAGAAGAAAAAAAAAACTAGAAACAAGGACCAACAGAATATAATTTGTTTTAACGTTTTAATAAATGTATATTAATAAAACAGAAAATTTCTTGTAAATCAATAAAGTCATCGGAAATCAATAAATATCGTTTTTTAATTGTAAATATATTGTTTTTTCCCCAAGTCAGTAGAAGTCCTTTTTTATTACCCTTTTTTTTAAAAAATATGTTTTATCAGTAAATTCGATACTTGCATACTAATATAAAGATGAAGATTCTTTCAAATTTGCTGTGTATATTCTTTATTCTTTCAACATTTTGAATATATCCTGCACAATTAATTTTTGTCATGTCAATGTGCAATGTTAAAATACATTTTTAGATTAGTTTTGTATGTAGTTCTATCCTGTAGCTTTTCTAATGGTTGTTATATGTTATTTTTAGATATACAACAGTTTCGTATAAATATTGAAACAAAAGAATTATGGTGATGCTGCGGTAAAATTCATAAGCATTAAGGAAACTCCTTGATACATTTAATCTACCGGTCCACATTCTAAATGAAAATAAGTAAAACCGATGAATCATTTACCTATCTTCTACAACCGTCAATGGCATTTTATAAATAGCTCTTTGGACGCTATTTTGAAAAATGCCTTTCGGTTATATCAGATAAACTAACTGGAATACTATATTTGAAACAGCACAAATTTGTTTTTTTAACAAAAAAGAGCTGAAGCCCGCTTAAAACAAACGTTTTATTTTTTACGACAGATCAAAGTTAAAATAATTTTCAACTTAATATCAAATCATGAAGACCGGGTGTGGTAAAAAAATACAAAACGATAACATCTCTCTTCTGTCTCTAATAAATGCCTTGTAGAAGCCCTTTCAGAAGATCCACTGTAGTCAGAGGTTCTGGCGAGTTAACATCGAGGTCTGGAACCTTACTAGTCTTGGGCATCTTGTCTTTATCCACAATCTTTTTTCTTTATTGTAGGTTCTGTCTTGATGTGAAACTCCTCGCTAAAATGCTCGCTTTAGTTTTCATTTTGACCATCTGGTTTGGATTTAACTCTACCGTCTTTAGAATTATATAAAGAGCCTCTATTTCAAGATAGTGTTCTGTCAATATTATAATGTATTATGTCTTCTAATGACCTGTTTCTGTTGCTTACCGTACCACATAGGCAAGTTGATAATAGCTATTGAACGTGTTTATTGTAGTACTTTTTTTCTTGCCACCTCTTAATGCTATTCATTGTGTTACTTGTTTATGTTCTCTAGTCCTAGATTGAAGAAGTCAATGTTTTGTCGATCTGTTTTCTTCAATCACTGTTTGAATGTGATCCTTTCTCTTACTGCCAAGTTTTAGTGTCTGTATTGGTTGTCTCAGTGTTTCCTTGACAATTACCTATTTCTCGATAGAGATGCATGAGCTTGGTATTTAGTAAGTAAAGAACTGAATTATTTTATTTAATGTTTTTTACGCAATATAAACTTATGATGATATTTAATGTTTGGTTTTTTGTAAGGTTTTTACTTGTGTTGTATATAGCGCAGCTGTTGTTCTGTCTTTAAAATCTATTGCAAAAGTAAATATTTGTAAAAAGGATAATATCATAATACTCAATAAGTTGCACACATAATTTTACACGCTATTCTTTAACAATGATGTTTGCATTAAAATTTGTTGTGTCTCTGTAAAACAAAAATGTTTTGAGTAAACAAACAGTGGCAGAAATAAAAAAATTGCTTCAATTGTTTGATAATAAGAACGTTTTTATTTATAACAATTCAAATACCGCTCACTTACCACATTCAATGTTAAATTCACAGTTCAGTAGTAAGATTATTTCCCGAATTCAATGAGGCCACTTTTTGGCTAATATTTTCAATTATAGATTTCCCAATAATTACTGAATAATTTAGGTCAATATTTATTTCCTTTATACTTGAGAATTTAAATTTCTTTTCTGCTTGATCACTTAACATTTTGTTCGAGCAATACAATTATTGATTGGTGAATCATTCTAGCGTCAAACTAGAAATGAATGTTTTGTTATCATTCGTGCATATCTAAAATAATCCCTCGATACCTTGAAAATTATCGTTAAAAATTGGCTTTCAAGACAATTGGACTATAACCCGAACATTAGCAAGCGTATTTATATATGTATACAGAATAAAGATTTGACAGTTGATGATAAAAAATTGTGCTTATATAATGATTTGTATTATCCAAGTGTATTCTCCTCTATGTTGTGATTATGACGTAATAAGCAATAAATGTTTCATCGTTAACAAATTCGACTTAGTCTTTGTCCTTATCCTTTTGTAGGCATTTAAGTTTTAAATTATTTTCAATTTTGCCGTTTTGGGATTTCTTAAGGGATTCTTATTGTCTCTATTTTATGATGACACCCCGTCCAGTTTTTTCTTGTTTCTTTTGTTTTTGTTGTTTTTTGTTTGTTTTTTTTTTTGAGGTCGGTGAACAAAGCAGTTTTTCAAATGACTGTTACAACTTTAGTGTCCGACTTAAATTACGCATCGTATTTATTCTAGCAGATTTATCTACCATTTTTTATTTGAATATTTGCCAGAAAGCATAAGAAAAATGGTGCATAAATATGAAAAAAAAATGTAAAAATCAATTATACAAACCACGTTTATTTCAGATAAAGAAGTAAACTACATGGTCTATGATATAAATAATTACTGAAACAGTGCATGTATTTTCAACGTTGTTTAAGGAAAGCTATAAAATTTTACTAATTTTTTTTATTTTATTTATTCTGCTAGACTACCAAAACACCAATCAATTGGCAGACGAATCTCGTTATGATGACAAACAAGAGTAAATAGTATACACTATCTATATGACCTCTCTAATTTCGGTTTCACTATAAACCCACTATATACCCCTACAATAAAGATAGTAAACAGTAATATTACTAACTTAAAATTAACAAAATAAATTATTGATAAAATTAATTATTGCACAGTCAATTGTTTTGCTTAAATGTGTTTTGATATTCATTGTATATAAAAGAAGTTGGATATTATTTAAATATTTGGTATTCGATGGATATATAGATACTTGGCATAAATGATTATAGAAGAACATTGTGAAGAGAATATGGACGAGGTCATAATGAAACCCCTTTCTAAGCTGGTAATACGGTATTCCCAGGTTTTAGTGGAGATGTTATGTTTCTTTCTTCATAAAATCAGACTTTTTTAATTCATGAATTTTTACTGAAATGACTTGACAAGTGAAAATTTGATTATATACCTATAAATGGTCATGATTGAAACATGTTTTTGTTGGTTTTACATTATTTGGAATTATAAAAGGTTAAAACAGCTGACTTTGACTTGACCTAATCATGGTTGCGTTTGAGTCATGCCATAAACTTTCATTTGTTGGTGAAGCATTCCTGTAAGCTACTAGTTTGGTGCTTAAATTTGGTACCCACACATTCCCGACATAGTGTATTCTGCCACCAGTGATGCTTGAAAGAAACCATAGGGACCGACCATGTCTATTGACTGACACCACATTTACAGTCTTTGCTGAAACGGAAGATCTTCTAGCACAAAAGTGTTAAGGAATACAGGTTGAAGGTATAAAGGTATCTATAGGTTAAAAGCACTAGCCATTTTATAAAAAGGCTGAAGGTTCAAGTATTGCCTTTTGTGAAATTACTAAATACAAACTGATGTTATCGTTTGTTATAAAAAACTTCTTTTGATAATTTTTATATAGATCAAGGGGATAATTTGTACCGATTGCGGCCGAGTCGAGTTCATTTAGGGCCGAACAAGATAATATATCATACGCTACTCAGGATTTGTATAATTCACTCATAGATGGACAACAACATTCACTACTGTAGTTTTTTTTAATTTCAAAAATCTAAGGAGTGGCCTATTATTAATTTCATAACTTGCGAAATACATGTATATAAATCCAAATTAATTTATAGAAAATCGTTGGCGGAAGTATTAGAGTTATTTAAATGCCGAACATTTAAAATGTTATTCTTAACTCGTAAATACAGACAAACCTCTTTGTTTAAACCATTACTTTATTGATGCCATGAGATATTGACAGTTTTTTATTAAAGTGCAACAGGAACTGTTCTCCACTAAAATAGTTTAATGTTTCTTTCCGTAATTTCTTTCCTAATCATGATCAATATGTCATATGCAAGAAAAAGAATCAAACACCGGCTGTAGTCACAGCGGAACCTCGTTACTGCCGTAAACAGTTAACCTTGAGCGCGATATTCCGGCCTGTACCAGCAGCCGGTGTAGAATCCAAAATACTTGCTATATCTCTGTCGTTTTTGAGATAATAGATTCAGTTGTTTGTCCATTCCATGTTAACAAATAAAACTTTATTATTGTAATTCAATTAAGAAAGAGTAAAATGCCAAATTGTATATAAACTTGTTTCTACCAATATCCTACAATTCAAATGTACAATGTGTGTACCTAAATCCTTAATATAAGTTGAAAAGTACAGCGATACCAGAACGCAAAATTACAAGGTAACAATGTGTCACTATGAAAACTGTCCCTGCCATAATTATCAATTTTTCTGTATCTTATGTTTTCAAAATTTTGTTGATATTTGGTAAAAAGCATTTCATGCAAAAGTAAGCAAATGTCCAATTGAGCGGTATATCTTTTGAATACGGACACTTAATGCGATGTTTAATTATACTATACACACCTGGAAATAAGTTGTGTTAAGAAATAGTAATTTGATATGTAGAAATACCAATTAAGTAATTATAAACCAGTACATTAATGAGTTTAGTTTATTCTGAACCAAATCATTGAACCAAAAGCAAATTAAAAAAATGTAAGTGTTTATAAGTATGTTGTTAGAGCATTTACAAAACATTTACAGTTGGATAATTGTGGTATTAATATGCTAGACAAAATGTTATAATTTGAGAATGATACTCCATCACGAATCATCAATTTTATTATTCAACTTATATGCTTGCCTATGTACAATAAGTGATGAAATATATCCCTGACAATTATTTTAGCTTGTGCAAACAAAATCGCATGTGTAAATGTATTGTCTATGGTTCAAAGAAAAGGCACTTCGTCAAATTTTATCAATCCCCATATTATCTGAGACTTGATTATTTATTTGGATTATTTGCTCAATCCTCGTGAGGAGAAGTTTATATTTGTCAACTGTCATGCTTCTTTGTCTTACACCGCTCTTCTAGCATCTTAAAAAAAGCTATGGAATTAATAGTCAAAGATCAATTACGGAGAAATTTGCGATTACTGTTTAATTATCCGGTAAAGCTGAAAGGTTTGTTCTACACCGAGAAAATATGTGTAGATTTGTAGTAATACAGGGCTTTCTTTCGGTTTATTTTTCAGATATTTCAAAGACGTATGGATGGGTCGGTTGAGTTTTATCGAAACTTTTCCGACTATGATAATGGATTTGGGAACGCTGAAGGAGAGTTGTGGTTAGGTATGTCAGGAATTATACTTTTTCTTCATATAATTATATGTTTTAGCATATACTTTCAGGTAAAACGTTTGATACATACGTCATTGTATGAGGTTTAGAAAGAAACATGTTAAAGCTTCATATGTAAAAAGTGACTATGTTTTTTTTATGGCAGAGGCATTCTGTTGAACAAATAGATTGTATCACATTGGAAGAGAGCACATTGAGTGAAAACGAATTATTAGCCATTCTATGTCTGATTTACTAATTGTCGTACTCATGTTCGCCTTCATGGTCCATCAAGTACATTTAGTTTTAATGATAATGTTTTGTTTTAGATTATAACTCTGCAGGACTATCCTTTAATTTTTTTTATTTCTTATCGGTTGTGTTTTCTCAGGCCTGAAATATATACAAGAATTAGCTGCACAGGGCACTTCTGAGGTTCGTCTAGACATGACAAATGAAAATAATGGCACAGGGTATGAGACTTTTCAGGAGTTCAAATTAACAGATGGAACAAATTATAAACTCAACATTGGCTCACGAGAGGGATCCGCAGGTATGAAATGAGAGAAACAAAACAAAATGATATGTTCCTTTACCATGACAGTAAGAAAATGTTATATATTCATTTTTATCTAATAATGTATTTTTATATAATTAATATCCTTGATGTGTTTTTTTTTTTTTTTTTTTTTTTTTTTTTTGTTGCTGCTGTTCGTGGCGATGATATTTCTCGTTGTCAACGTTGTTGTTGAATAATTAAACTGCTGTAATTTACCTTAGTTTGTGTCAGCAAAATAATTTGTAATTTAATTGATATCCATACAGGCACATTATGCTTTAGAGAAGAATAAATTGTTCATTCTTAAGAAAAGTCAAGCATGCGTTTTATAAGGTTTAAATATGAAAATTAGGACAGAATGTAAACAGTATCTGCCATTAAAGTTGCAAAATATAAACAAAGTATTTTTTCGACTTCCGTTCAAAGTACTGAATCAATTTTTTACTGGCTGCCAAAATGCAACAGATGTTAATGATGGTTCAGGTATTTGGCCAATGCGTAACTTTTTGAAACTTTAATAGGGTACAAAAAGAAAAACTATAAGCAAAATGAAAAAAAAAAAATTCTGGGGCACAGAGATATGCACACGTTTGGTAATGATGAAAAGTTATCGTTAACAAACGACATAAGTCTCGCCATTCTCACAATAATTGTAGTGCATAGATTACTTCAGTTATTAGTTGTTTTTGTATTTATTTATAGAATATTCAAAAATAGATTCCTTTCAATAGATCTTTGAATTAATTTCACGTAAGATAGTTGGTAGTATTGCTTTTTGAATTGGATGCCGATTATCCAGGTCCGCTTGTTTTTTTCAATATTTTTTACTCAAGTTTGAGATAATTTCTTTTTGTTCTTTCTTTGTTTTGTTTTTTTTAACTTGTGAATGTGAGTAAAAGAAAATATTTTATTATCTTTTAAGGTGATTCGGCATATGGCTTACTCTATCACAAATTTCAACGGTTTTCGACCTTTGACCGTGACGTTGATTCCGGATTAACTCGTAATTGCGCTGTCGATCGACACGGGGGCTGGTGGTATAAAGAATGTTCTTACGTTAACCTAAATGGATTGTATGTGACACCAGGAGGAACATGTGTCATCGCTGGTCTAGAATCAGGGACATGTGGACACGTGCATGATGGATTTAACAGCAATAAGGGACTGAGACGTTCTACAATGATGTTGAGAAGGACCTCAACATGAAATATTAATGTCACGTTCAACTCAATCCAAAACATTTGTATTAAATGACTATCCTTGTACGAAAACAATGTGGACGAATTCATTAGTTTATTTTATGTCAAAAATATGATGTTGTAAAGGAAATTTTAAACTTAAAGTATTCAAAGCATGATAAGATTAAATACTGTGTTCTGATAACTTTTTTATCTATATAAATATACAATAATCAATATTTATGTTAAATAATTTAAAAATAATTTTCCAAACAAAAATATGTATGAAATTTACAAACTTTAAGGTTATCAAAACTTAAATTATACAAAAGAGAATTATAGTTTAAATATCTGCAATAGGAAAATTTCATAAGAACAACATAAGTATATGAGAATTTTTGATGCTACTGTTTTATTATCGGATTATCAGTATGTGAACTAGAGTTAAAATTCTAAGGCAAACCGTATTTCTTACAAGAGAAATGTTACACTAATGAAATATCAATTTGATACTTTAAACACCTCTCGAGTTGAACTTTGAGCAAGCATTTATAATGCAAATTAGAATGACAATTTCTTTATGCTTATAAACAAATTTAAAGTTTGTCTAATAAATGTCTCACTTGAAAACAAAACAGCAAATTTTTGAAGAAGAAGAAGAAGAAAAACTAGAACAAGACCAACAGAATATAATTTGTTTAACTTTAATAATGTATATTATAAAACAGATTCTGTATCAATAAGTCATCGGACATCAATAAATATCGTTTTAATTGTAAATATATTGTTTTTTTCCAAGTCAGTAGAAGTCTTTTTTTATACCTTTTTAAAACATATGTTTTATCAGTAAATTTGATACTTGCATACTAATATAAAGATGTAGATTCTTTCATATTTGCTGTGTATATACTTTATTCTATTCAATATTTTGAATTTATCCTGCACAATTTATTTTTGTCATGTCAATATGCAATGTTAAAATACATTTTAGATTATTTTGTATATAGTTCTATCCTTTAGCTTTCCTAAAGGTTGTTATATGTTATTTTTAGATTCACAACAGTTTCATATTATTTTAGAAACAAAAGGTATAAGGTGATGCTGTCGGTAAAATACATAAGCGAAAAGGAAACCCTTCGATACCTCTAATCTACCTGTCCACATTCAAAATGAAAATTAATAAAGCCGATGAATCATCTACTGTTAGAAACGAAAGTTTATTGCTCTGTTGACACTATTATGAAAAATGCCTTTCAGTTATACCATGCATATTTTGAAAATAGAACTACTGGAATACTAAGTTTAAAACAGCACAAATTTGTTTGTTTTTTTTTCACAAAAAAGAGCTGAAGCTTGCTTAAAACAAACGTTTTATTTTTTACGACTGATCAAAGTTAAAATAATTTTCAACTAAACATCAAATCATGAAGACCGGGTGTGATAAAAAATACAAAACGATAACATCTTTCTTCTGTCTCTAATAAATGCCTTGTAGTAGCCCTTTCAGAAGATCCAATGCTGAGGTTCTGTTGTGTTAACATCGAGGTATTGAGCCCTACTAGTCTTGAGCATCTTGACTTTATCCACAATCTTTTTTCTTTGTGGTAGATTCTGTCTTGATGTGAAAATCCTCGCTAAAATGCTCGCTAAAGTTTTCCATTTGACCATCTGGTTTGGATTTAACTCTACCGTCTTTGGAATTATATAAAGAGTCTCTATTTCAAGATAGTGTTCTGTCTATGTTTTAATGTATTATGTCTTCTAATGACTTGTTTCTGTTGCTTACCGTACCTCATCGGCAAGTTGATAATAGCCATTGAACGTGAATATTGTAGTACTTCTTTACTTCCTTTCTTGTCACATCTTTATCTTTTCTTTTGTGTTCCTTTTATCTTTTATTTTTCTAGCCCAGATTAAGAATCTATGTTTTCCTTCTTTTTTCTTCAATCAGACTTTTTAATTTTATCAATTTTTACGCCAATTTTTAAGTTCCGTATTGTTTTCCACGTTTCCTTAAAATGTCCCATTTCTCGATAGATAGAGATGCATGAGCTTTGTATTACGTAATGAGCTGAATTAATTTATTTAATGTTTTTACGCAATATAAACTTATGATGATATTTAATGTTTGTTTTTTTTTGTAAGTTTTTTACTTGTGTTGTATAGAGCGCAGTTGTTCTTCTGCCTTTAAAATCTATTACAAAAATAAATATTTGTAAAAAGGATAATAGCATAATACTCAATAAGTTGCACACATAATTTTACACGCTATTCTTTAACAATGATGTTTGCATTAAAATTTATTGTGTCTCTGTAAAACAAAAATGTTTTGAGTAAACAAACAGTGGCAGAAATACCAAAATTGCTTCAATTGTTTGATAATAAGAACGTTTTTATTGATAACAATTCAAATACCGCTCAATTACCACATTCAATGTTAAATTCACAGTTCAGTAGTAAGATTATTTCCCGAATTCAATGAGGCCACTTTTTGGCTAATGTCTTCTATTGAAGATTTCCTTATAATTCCTGAATAATTTAGTAAAATTTTTTTTATATTTTGGTTTTAAATTTTTTTTGCTTGATCTTTTAACATATTTTTTCCGAGAAATAAATTTAGAGGTGAACATTCTCGTCAAACTAGAAATGAATGTTTGTATCATTCTGCATATCTAAAAAACCCCTTTCGATATTTTGAAAATTTCGTTAAAATTTTGGGTTTTAAAAGACTTTTTGACTAAACCCCAAAACATTAGAACGTATTTTTTATGTATAAAAAAAAAATTTTGACGTGATGAAAAAAAAAAAATTTGCAAAAATGATTTTGTTTTACCAAGTATTCTCCTCTATTTTGTGTTATACGTAATAACTAAATTTTCATCGTTAAAAAATTTCACTTACCCCTTTATCCTTCTGTAGGCATTTAAGTTTTAAATTATTTTCAATTTTGCCGTTTTGGGATTTCTTAAGGGATTCTTATTTTCTCAATTTTATGATGACAACTGTCCAGTTCTTTGGGTTTTTTTTCTTGTTTCTTTCCTTTTTTTGTTTTTTTTGTTTGTTTTTGGAGGATTGCGGGATGTGGATTGCCCATGTGTCCTGTCCTGTTTGGTATCTTGCTGAGCTCATTGCCGAAGGAACTGTTTTGGACCTTTATAGCTGATCTTGTTAGATAATGTTGAGAATATGAATATTATAATGGTCATTGTCATTGTGTATTGAAATTATTTCTAACATGTTGTTAGATTAACATGATGATTGTTATTACCAATCTGCGGGTAAAGGTTAAAACCCTACCAAAAGATAAAAATTCCTTTTAAAATTTTAGGGGGGGAACAATTTTTTCAACAACAAAATGGGACGCATTTTTCTGTTTTTTTGGTAATTTGAGTGGGTGCCCCAAAGCAGTTTTTCAAATGTCTGTTACAGTTTTAGTTTCCGGCTTAAATTACGCATCGTATTTAATTTAGCTGATTTATCTTCCATTTTTTATTTGAATATCTGGCAGAAAGCATAAGAAAAATTGTGCATCAATATGAAAAAAATATAAGAATCAAACCACGATTACTTCAGATACAGAAGTAAACTACATGGTCCGTAACTATAAAATTTTACTACTTTTTCATGTTTATTTAGTCTGCTAGACTACCAAAACACCAATCTATCGACATACGATTCTAGCTACGATGAGGACAAACAAGAACTAATATTATAAACTATCTATATGACCTCTCTACTGTCAGTCTACCTATAAATCCACTATATACCCCCTCAATAAAGATATTAAACAGTAAAATTACCAACTTAAAATTAGTAAAATAAATTATGGATAAAATTTATTATTGTACAACGGTTTTGTTGATTTGTTTTTTGATTATTATAAAAGAAGCCGGATATTTTTTAAAATATGGTATTTGACGGATATAAAGGTATCTGGCAGAAATGAATATAAAAGAACATTGCAAAGTGAAGATTGGGAAGGTCCCTTTCTACGCTGGTAATATGGTATTTCCAGGTTTTAGTGGAGATTTTATGTTTCTTTCTTCATACAATCAGATCAGGTTATACTTTCAGAGTTTTACTTAATGATTTTGACAAGTAAAGATTTGATTTAAATACCTATAATTCATGATTGAAACATTTTTGTTTGTTTTAAATATTTGGAATTTTAAAAAAGTTAAAGCACAGATTTTGGCCTTTATTGACCTTATCATGGTTGCGTTTAAAATTTGCCAGGAACTTTCATTTTTTGCTGAAATTCATGTAAGACAGTACCATTAGTTGGTGAACCTTAAATTATTGGTACCCCCATTCCGAAAATAAGTATTCTGCCACTGTGTTTCTTAAAGAAAGTGTTACCGACCCATGGTCTATTGACAGACACCATATTTACAGCTTTGCGAAACGGAAATTTTAGCATGTAGGTTAAGGACCGCAAATCCGGTAAAAGATATTTTAGGGTTAAAGGCAACAGCATTTTTAAAAAGGCGTAAGTTGAAGTATTACCTTTTATGAAATTTATTTATACACACTGGTGTTATCCCCTTTTTAAATAACTCTTATGATAATTTTAGATCAGGAAGATTTTAACCTTACAGTAAGATTTGTGGCTCCGGTCGAGTTTTATTAGGCCCGAAACAAGATCATTTCATTTCGCTACTCAGGATTTGTATAATTCACTCATAGATAGACATTCACTACAGTAGAAGCTTTTTTGTTTTCAAAAATCTTAGGAGTGACCTACTATTTATTTCAAAACATGCGAAATACATGTACATAAATCCATATTAATTTGTAAAAAATCGTGACCATCCAAGCGGCGATATGACAACTATTTAAAAGCCGAACATTGATTTAAAATGTTATTCTTAACTCGTAAATACAGACAAACACCTTCGTTTAAACCATTATTTTATTGATGCCATGAAATATTGACAGTATTTTATGTAAGTGCAACAGGAAATGTTCTCCACTAAAATAGTCTTATGTTTCTCACGTGTGTCATTTTTAACAACCCTCCCGTGGAATTCGTAAGATCTTACATTTTTAACAGGTCATACGAATCTCACGCTACACCGGTGCTAGGAAAACCTGTCTAACATCCACCATGTAAGACAAGTCGCGTGCCTTAAATGACGCCACTCCCGTGCGCATTTTATGTATAGATTGCTTTCTTAGAAGGACGTCATTTTGCCGTAATGAAAAAGATCTGAATGAACATATTTCTTTCCGTAATTTCTTTCCTAATCATGATCAATGTGTCATAGGCAAGAAAAAGAACCAAACACCGGCTGTAGTCACAGCTACGAAAATATAGCCTGGGGGTAGTAACTGGTCAGCGGAACCTCGTTAATGCCGTAAACATTTACCCTCGAGCGCGATATTCCGGCCTGTACCATAGCCAGTGTAGAATCCAAAATACTTGCTATATCTCTGTCGTTTATGAGATAATAGAATCAGTTATTTGTCCATTCCGTGTCAACAAATAAAACTTTATTATTGTAATTCAATTAAGAAAGAGTAAAATGCAAAATTGTATATAAACTTGTTTCTACCAATATCTTTCAATTCTAATGTACAATGTGTGTATGTTATATACATGTTGTCAGTCAAGTTGTAAACATGTGAAATGAAATTCTTCTTGAGGTACCTAAATCCTTAATATAAGTTAATAGGTATAGCAATATCAGGACGGAATAATGTGTCACTATGAAAACTGTCCCTACAATAATTATCAATTTTTTCTGTATTTTATGTTTTTCAAAATTTGGTTGATATTTGCTAAAAAGCATGTTATGGCATAAGTAAGCAAATGTCCAATTGAGCGGTATATCTTTTGAATACGGACACTTAATGCGATGTTTAATTATACTATACACACCTGGCAATAAATTGAGCTAAGAAATAGTAATTTGATCAGTAGAAATACCAATTAAGTATTTATAAACCAGTACATTTTATGAGTTTAGTTTATTCTGAACCAAATTATTGAAGCAGAAGCAAATGTGTTGTTTTTACAAAAAAAAAATGTAAGTGTTTATAAGCATGGTGTTAGAGCGTTTACAAAACATTAACAGTTGGATATTTGTGGTAAATGTTGACGATTACGTAATATAAAAACACATTATTTAGCCAGATTTATAATAACGTATGTAACCGCCACATTACTATTTCTTAGCTCAATTAAGTCGTCATGTAATGACAGCGCTTTCAATCATAACCAATTTTATATTTCAGGGGTGTGCTTAACTTATTTCCAGGTGTATATTATTGTCAATTATTTGTAAATTTCAAAAGAAAGATTCTCAGAATCAATTTTAAATCAATCAAAATTTCACGAATTTGACCTCTCAAATGTCTGAGTTTAGTTGTTGATCTCGATCTCGATCACATTTTATGTCCTTCTCAACATCATTGAAGATCTCCTTAATTTTCCTCCACTTTTAAACCCTCCATGCCATTGTGCACAAACACCGGTTTCTGCCCCAGCAAGTTTACATGTTTCACCTGGTTGGACATATAATCCATTGAAATTAACGTATGTGCATGGTTTTATCCCCCCCAGGCTCCATGTCGATCAACAGCACAATTACGTGATCCTCCGAAATCTAAGTCACGGTCAAAAGTTGAAAACGCAGCTAAATTACTGTACCATAAACCTTTTGCTATGTTGTCTGAAAAAGGTAAATAAGATTTTAACTGCATGATGCCATATGTAGCCTGTTTTAGTATTATTGACGATTTTTGTCAGTCATACAGTTGGACAAAGTAAGATTCCCCAATGTCACCAAAACATTAAAACTGAATGTTCCATCTGAAAGTTAATCTCGTTGCCTTTATCGTTGTTTGTTTGAGTAATGTTAATAAAGATAATGGTCAATGTGCATTGATAAAATGTATACATGTATGTAATATTACAAAACATGTAAGGAGATAATTGATTTTTATTTAAGAATTGTGTTTTGCTAATGTAGGCAAAACTTAATTCAGGATCTTAAATTTATATATCAATTAAAACTAAAATGAAATCTGTATAAGTCAAAAATATATTTGTTTAGTACATTTTATCTTTCATACAGCAATTATCAACACTCGTATAATTTCGTTTTTATACCTGATGCTTCGCGTAACCCAATGATGAGTCTATACTTTATTCCATCTGTCAACTTGAACTCCCGAAAGGTCTCATACCCAGTGTCATTGTTGTGATTTGTCATGTCCAGGCGGACTTCTGAACGACTTTTGTCAGCTAATTCTTGTATGTACTTCAGGCCTATGATAAATAAACCAGTGGTACATGAATGCAGAACTATCATGAAAACGAAACAAAATCTAAAAAAATGAAACAAAACAGTCATATTGTGACACACAGAAAAATACAAAAAAATGTCTCTTATGATAAATGTTACAGCCTATACATTATTAATTCAAACAGATTCATTTGATACACGATGGTCTTATTATATAAATAAATTGACTTTTTTATCAACGATACCAAATGATGTATGTATGATAGCCTGCTATCAGTTGTAAACTATTAAATGCAAAGATAAAATGAAATTATTAACATGCTTACAATCTGTATTAAAATACAAGTCATTGCATTTGCATTGCCATAAAATCATTATTTTCTTTATACATTTTTTTCTATTTTATCAATATCTTATATGAACAAATCATAATAAAGACATAGAAACCAAGAAAGTGTATTGCTGCAACAGTTATTACATGTACATAAAGTGTCAAAATTAACCAAATCGTCAAAATTGAACGAAAATAAAACTGAAACATTTGAAAACAAGGATATCTTAACACGCAAGATGTTTTTGTTAATGGTAATATGACAACTTAACTTTAAGCCTCTTTACGGTTTTCATGGTAGTTGAACAACGTAACAATACAAAAAATGTTGCTCAATTATATTGTGACATTCAGAAATTATCCAAAAAATCATTGCATTGCACGTGTAAATGTATAAAGTCGTCGGGAAATACTTCAGCATTCTGATCTCGGCTACTGAGCAGTTATAAATTTAAATAAGCGTGCGGGATAATATGACATCCCCCATACATTAAGAAAGTCTTGCCCGCAAACATGACAAGCTATTGGAAAACAATATATTTCTTTTTGGCATAGCTTGTCACCTTATCTTTAAAAGCACAAATGTCCGGGCACATATACAATATAATAACATATATCGTTTACTTTAACAATTTATGCTCACTAATATTAAATATAAATACTCAAGTGAACCATAAATTATGGATCTACCTAGCCACAGTTCTCCTTCTGCGTTTCCAAACCCATTTTCATACTCTAAGAAGTTTCGATAAAAATCGACGGACCCGTCGAAGCGCCTTTGAAACATCTACAAAGAGTTCAACGAAATAAACGCAGTATAATTTAGATAAATAGATAAATTTTCAGTAAATTGAAACTACCGTTGCTCAAAGTCACGTAACAACTTCCAGTTTCATCTAATACTGAGACGTAGATGGTGTTTTTCAAAGAACTATTGAACCGTTAAGTATCAAGCTTGATATGAATTGTTCAGATTTTAAGAAGTTAACTGTTATATACAAATTGGCATGTGATGTACCTAGTCTTTACTAACGTGTATATATTTTCAAAACTATAAGATGAAGATTGAATTAGACAAAAAATAGACTTAAACCTTTAAATCTTAAGATTCTTTTTAGTGTTGTACTATTCGCAATATATGTCTTGTGTGTTTAACTTTCTTTGGAAAAAAAATTTGAAGTCATTAACTATGCACATATTTAAACAAATACATTGATTGATTTATATATCTGTTAACTAGTTATTCAATTATTTACAAGATGTTAAGACTTGAAAAGATTTCAACCTGAGACTTCAGCTTTCAAGTATGCAGAAAACAGAAAAAAGAATGGAAAAAACGATATTTGCTGAACAATATTTAAAGGGACTCCACATGATGGGACTGAAAATATTTTTTCCAGATATTTGTACCATTTGATGTAGGTTTAAACCACTAATCTTTGTGCAAAATTTCAGATCTTTCGCGGTCTTTGTTTTCAATAATAATTATTAAAATTGTAAAAAAAGATCCAAAATGAAAAGCGTTTCAACATTTTTCACTCAAATCGAGCTAAGAAAAGAATAAAAATACGATTTTCAATTTATTTCAAGGCATATTTCTTAACTATCTTTGCAAATATTTCTGTTTAAAGTGGCTCAGCTCATTTATGTTAGAAATTCAAATGTTATGTTTTTAGGCTTTTCAACCTCAGTGGAGTCCCTTTAAATTAATTCAACACTTTTCATACCGTCCAGCCGCCGCCGTCAGTCTCCATGTCACAATTCACAATCAATATCTTCCTAGACCTCCATAGTTCTATCTCATACAAACCACTTTTTGCTTCCGGGAATTTATCAAGAATTTCTTTACAGTCGCTCACTGAGCAATAATGAGATAACAATAACTAAAACATAAACTAGCTTTCAAATGAATGCATCGAGTTTACAATAATTGATGAAGCAATTTGCATTTGAATTAATGACAAATCTATGGCGTTCATATGAATTTACAGATATATAAATTTTGTTTTGTACGTGACGTTTTTCATTTTGATGTTGTATTGTTTGCCAACATAGAAAATTTATGAACTTGTTTAAGCGTATAAAACTATATCAGGTTATATGTTTGTATGATTGTTTTTGATGGGTTTTTAAAGACCCTAGTCGCACTGACTCAGTATAGGTCATATGGCGACGTTCCAGCTTGACTGGTGGAGGAAGACGTCAGGTGCCTTCCGTGCATTATTAGAGGCAAAACAAAAAAAAATCGCTATCTCGTTCCCACGAAAAATAACTCGGAAAAAAATGCTATCTGAGCTCGTCCCCACGAGTTAGTCGGCCAATCAGCTTTTAGGTCTATCTTCGAACGCATCTTCGATTTTATTGGTCAGCTAACTCGTTACCACGACTTAGATGTGTTTATCTGATTAGTCGGCTAACTCGTGACCACGGGATAGCACATTTTGCTTTTTGTTGTTTTTTATGTTGTTGTTGTTTTCTGTTTGTTTCTTTGCTTGTTTGTTTGTTTGTTTTTCCTCTTAGTTATATCTGTTTCTTTTTTTTCTTTGTTGTTTCTTGAAGGAACGAGAAAGCATTTTGTTTTTCGGTTTTTTTTTCTGAGTTATATCTTGTTGCCATGAGATAGCATTTTGATGTTTGTGGGTGTTTTTTTTTTCTCCTGAGTTACATCTCGTGACCATGAGAAAGTATTTTGTATCTGGGTTATATCTCGTGGACACAAGATATGAAAAGAAAAATAGATTGGCATGTCCTCTCTGTGCTTCTGTATATCTCTCAGCACATATTTAACATGTTTAAAGGGACTCCACTGAGGTTGTTAGATATGATGAGACTGGAAATACTTTTTCCGAGGCTCGTGTACTATTATTCATATTTTATAGGGGTTTGCGCAAATTACTTGTGTGCAAATTTCCAGTTCATTCCCTGCACCCGTTTTCCCAGAAAAAGCCACTTTTATTGTGAAAAATGACCAAAGTAAAAATTTCAAATGTTATGTTTTTAGACCTTTTGACCTCAGTGGAGCTCCTTTAATAAATAGATTACCAGTGAATGATACTGTGTCAATGTATGGATCAGCTTTATACCATAAACACAAGCAATAGGCTTTGTTTCATGTTACACTGTAAAACAGATTTAAATATGATGCATTTTTACAAGAAGATTGCCTTGTAGTAATACATTACATCTGTTACAAGTTGCGGCTTCCCATTTTCCAGACGCTTGACATTTCACCTCAGGCTGACTAGGAACGTATCCATCGTCACATTTAACCGAAGCCTTGTCGAGGCTATGTCCGTTTACCAGCAATTTCCCCTTGTGTATTTCCTGACCAATATCACAAGCTATAAATATATATAAGGAATAACTCCAAACTTGTCTTAACTGAATAAGGTTTCTTATGACACCTGCATTTGTTTGTTCAATTACCGACACAGTTACCTCAGAAACAAATAAATTTTTACTTTTGTAGAAAGAGCAAACTTGAATGTAATAATATCTAAATAATGGTTTTAGAGAATGGTAGGTGCTTGTTACCTGAAGAAAGTAGCGATTAATTTGAAACTATTTGTCATAAAAGTGGCAAAAATGTGAACAAAAAAGGTATTTTGACATCCATACCAAATACCGATTCACTATAACTGCACTTATTGCCAAAAAGCAACATGAGAGAGATTGTTCAGACAGGTAATTGGCCAATGGTTAACTTTTTTCAATACCATAAGAATACATAAAAATTAAAAAGCTTTTGAGAATGTAAAATAAAGCATTTTTAGGCATAATGAGCTTTTAGGCGAACTAGAAATAAAACATGTTTCAAACCTTCTTCATACATGAGTTAAGATGTGCATAATAAAAAGAAATCAGTATGATCCTCATTACAAATAAGACATGACACGTAAATGACAATTACACCCAAGAAATGCTTTTATCATATACTTATAAATTAACAATTTAGAAATATTGACGAAATTAAATGCATATTTTATTTTCCGAATTTTCATCGTTAAAATATTTTTTTCACAGAAATGAAACATATTTTCCGTATTTTACTGGTGTCTTGCTGGACTACTTTCTTTTAAATTCAGCCAATACACAAAATTAAAAGGGAATACTTTCTATTCATCAGGTTAAAAAAGAGAAAACGTATATAATAAACAGAAAATTCAAGTTTTTTTCTATCAATACAGGTTTTATTTTCATCCTGTGGCTTGAAAATTATCATAATTCACTCGTAGCTACCGCCACTCGTGAACTATTTATTTTCATACCAATCAATGAAAATAAATCCTGTATTTATAGAAGAAACTTGATATCTTCTATTTATTTTTAATTGTAAAAACTTTTAATATTGTTGTGTTCTGTTTTCAGAAAGGTAACCTAGTGACCAATAACCTGAACCAGCTTTTGCCTCCGTTTTGCTTTTTTGGCAATTACATGTAGCAGATTTATAGTGAGATAGTATTTTGTATGGAAGTAAAAATACTACATTATAATTATATATTCTGCTACTTTTAATATAAATTAATTCACGATCGGCGCTGACTTCTTCAGATAAAAAAAAAAAAACCTTTTTTCATCTTAAGCCATTATTAAACGTTATAAAAAAAACTCTTGTTTCCTTTCTTATGAATGAAATGTTTATTCCTTTTTTTAATTTTGTAGGCAAAATGCGCCTTCCAATCTAGCTATACAAATACTTGACATTTACATTTTGATACCTGAACAGTTTATTTACTAATAAAATAATTTATTAAATTCATTACGTAACAATTTATTACATTCGAAGTATAGAGGATATTCAAGTTTTTTTCCATAAATACTGGATTTATTTCCATCGAGTGGTATGAAAATAAATAGTTCATGAGTGGCGGTAGCCACGAGTGAAATATCATAATTTTCATACCACAAGATGAAAATTAACCTGTGTTTATAGAAAGAATTTGATTTCTTTTTTTGTATATTTTCTGTCTATTATACGATTTATTCAATTTTGACATTACAATTTGAAACAGAACTTTCCCTGAATTTTTGTGTACTAGCAGAATTAAGAAGTAAGTAGTCCGGCATGACACCAGTGAAAATACGGAAAAAATGTTTCACTGCAGTGAAAAATAAATTTTTACAGTGAAAATACGGAAAATGAAAATACGCATTTTATTTAATCAATATTTCTCAATATTTCATTTACAAGTATATAATAAATTATATTATTTGGCAGATCAAACATACTTATATCTCTACACTCATGGGAATCTCCTTTATGATAACATCTTTGGTTGGCTTTACATGGCCTTGTGCTACAACTTCTAACCATTGCCTGAAGAAACAGTGAAGACCCAATTAACAAAACACTGAACATTATGTTTTTATCGTTTAATTAACTAGTGTTGTTATTGTTCAATGATTTAGCTATTGAATACGAAAATAATAAATTATTTTAATAAAGACACACAAAAAAAATTAATAACAATTGTTGTTCTTGAAATACAAAATAAGATAAACAAGATCAACAAGGAAAGGCGGAGTTCAATGAACGCAACACAAAACGACCCAGCAACAAGAACCAGTGGAAAGGAGCCCAGGAGGACCCCAAACAAATCAGGACAGGGCGCAAGGCAGACGACGGACGGCTAATCAATAAAATGATTCATAAGAAGAAATAATAGTAACCGAAAAGGAAATCAAAATCAAAGAAAAACAATTAAATGATTGAATAATAGGCCCACTAAGTAAAAGGGCATTATTGTGATGTTTTCCCTTGTGTGTACTCAAATACCAACGAGCAATGATTAGAGGTGAACAGTATATAACGGTAGTGTTTACAAATTCGAAAACCAGGCTAAACATCGTTTGCCGGTACTTTGTGAACATTCCAGGCATTGGCTCAGGGGAACGTCGTGTTAAAGTGATATGTATGTTTTTTTCACCTTAAACTGTGAAATACTTATAACAAAATAGGAATATTACGTAGTTAAACTGTTATACACTGCACTAGGTGTAATTCCCTAGAGCTAATTCCGTTACGCACTGGAATAAGTGTTTAGCTAGGTTTTCAATGAACGTCATTAAATTGTATTATATTATTTAAAAAATGATGTTATTGACTAACCGGTGTTATTATTTTAACTTTATTTAAATGTTTCGTCTTGCTACTGGAACATATCGATCATGAATTGCTGTTACAGGGCCATTTAGTCTCCAATTTCTATCATTTTTGCTTTTTTTACAAAGACGTTTTATTTGTGTTACAGTTTTCCAAATAGTTACTCATTAGTAATAAACAGACCAACCATTGATCGTTTGAATTTTGGCAAGGATTAAACATGTAGTTTGTATGGAAGTCAAAATACCACTGCTGTAATTGCTTGATAGATATCCGTGTCGCATGAAGAAAATAGCACTAAATGTAAAATAATATGTCATGAAAGTAGCAAATTGGAAACAAAGTAGTATTTGACTTCCATACAAAATACCAAAATCACTGTAAATGTATGAATGGCCCAAAATAAGCAACAGGGGAAAAAGACAGTTTAGGTACTCGGCCAATAGAGTAACTTGTTTAAATTCATAAAAGAATGCCAAGAAATATGAATATTTTGAGAAATAAAAATGAAAATAATGAGCCTTTTATTGCCTTAGAAGAAAATATTTATTCATGCAATGGTGCGTCTTTGTCTATATTGAAAACATTAAGATACTTACGCTAGGCCATTCGCTGATATCAGAGAAAATTGAACCCTTTTTGGTTTCAAACTCCGACGTGTCAACAGACTCCCGGTCAGCATCGTTCAATTTACATGCTTTCTTCGTTCTGTCATAGTCAATAGATTTACATATTTTCAATGACATACATGTCCGAGCACATTCTTGATGGTCTGTATCATTTATTTCCAGCACAGAATGACCAACTAAGGCTATGTTAAGATTGTCCTTTGTTATTTGAAATGTTTTACACGTGCTTGAAAAAACTGTTTGAAGGAAAACTGCATAAATAATCACTATTCCAGCATGAATCCTCATTTTTCTTACATTAAACAAAATTTTATGACAAAGTTTAAAACGAGAATACAAACTGCTATGGAACTGTTGCGCAGATAAAATCCAGATCTATTTTTGTTGAGCTCTTGAAATTGCTGGATATAAACTGAGAAGTTAAAGTTAAATATTGAACCAATTACATTAACAATCCAATTAAAATGCAAATGCGTGTTAATCTTCATCAATAGTTTGCATAATCAATAAAGTTTGCTAATGCACAAAAGCCAAATAAAAAATCGACAATTGTGGTGCCAAATGAAACAATGATAACATTCGTCATTGCATCAATTATTTACATTAGCTATAACCTTTCACCAGTTGAGATAAATCATTTTGATAATATGTTATCAATTATTCGTTACAAAATGATCGAGTCTGTGCATATTACTTTTGTTCTATGAAGCTGAAGATTCTTTATTCTTTTTTGTGAAAGAACGTGGTGACGGTATCTATATAATTATTATTCATTACAAATAAAACATCGTCCTCACATAGATCTAGTGTTACGCTATCTTTCATATAAATTTATAATATAGCAACGAAACGCGACTATTATTTTTTGATAGTGTAAAACCCAGCCAACAAGTTTGTCCTTTGTAACCTTTTATTTTCAACTCTCTAGAGAAGTCGTGTTTACAAAGTGCTTATAAATAACGTGTGTATTGAAATCATGTTTCAAATTCCAAACCATGCGATTTTGTTTTTTGTACCAATGTGTCTGAATACGTTTACCGTAAATTCTGAAAACGTTTATCGTAAATTGAAAGTACTAATATAAAATAAGAGGTAATAAGATCTTTATTTTATTTTTATGAGCCTTTTGTCAAACGTATTGCATTATCATAATATCTTGTATGTTGATGCTCTTCCATTTGCCTGGGACATGTTATTTATCAGGGTATAGAATTCACCTTGCAAGATGTCTATGGCCACTTTTGAAGGTCATACGTGTACTCGTGTACTACAAAGGACGTAATAAGTTATCCTCTTAGTGGATCGAAATGTCTATAGTTTTGCTAATTTTATATTAGACCTTGTGAAAGGTGACATTGCATTGTGTTATCGCATTATAGTATAGAAAATGCTTTGTTTCTTTTGTATGACATTTGGTTTGACTTGATGAAGTAGAGTATTATTTTTAAATGATTATTGCGCATGCAGGTTGACTAGCAGAGCATTTTCAGTTGTATCTGGAGAATTATAAATATGTCACGAACTGGTAATGTAATTATATATGCAGTCCATTAACAGGCTTAATCAAACCGAGTCTGCAACATTTTCAATTGTGTCGTTTTGATCGTTCTTTAGGGATTCTTTATATCTATTTATGGATATGAATGCAGGTCATGTTTCAAGGCCCCACCTAATATAATCTCTGATAAGAACTCCCCTTTTTCGCCTTGTGAAATGTAGGTTTCAAGAAATGCCAACAAAAAAGAAATATTTAAAAAAACGAAAATCTTAAAAAAAAAATGAGGCAAGGGGCCCCGTTTCTTTTTTTTTTTTTATTCAAAAGAACTACATTAAAGGAATGTTTAGGGCCATGCTTTCCATATTTTAGGCCAGAAATTTCAATGGCAAAAATAAAGTTAAGGGAAAACCCAAGGGCATTTCCCTCAAAAAATAAAGGAAATTTCAATTTCCAAAAATTTTATGCCACTTTTCACTTTTTTATGGCTTTACAACCTTGAAGTTTCGTCCATTTTTTTTACTTTGGAAAAATTGGCCTTGGACAAAATTAAGTATGTTAACAAAGGGCCATTAAACTAAAAAATTTTTAAGAAATACAAAAGTAACCCTTAATCTTTTCTTTTATTGAACGAAAACTTTAATTTGAATACCTTTTAAAATGCTAAGTTTCAAGATTTTGCACAACAACAACGAAGAAAGTAGGCGATTTTAATAGCTCGACTTTTTCTTCGAAACAGACAAGAATGGAGTTGCCAATAAGGCTCCCACGTTTACATTTTTTTTGGATTGCTAAAACCGAAACGATACCACTTAAACGGTAATACCTTTAGGTACCATGCTAAACCATGCATTTGGGTTGCCAAATGATGACTTACTTTCTGTTTAATGCATGTACATATAAATAATGTTCAGGGCTCATCGCAGGGGAGTCGGCACTGTATCCCCTTTTCGCTATTTTGAAAGATCAAAGGAATATCAACTTTACCAAAAATGTATTATGTCACGAGCGATTAGTGCACGATGATGCTGTGTGGACGGTTGTAAACACCTATTTTCCGTTATGTTTTTGTTTACTTTTGAATAAATCAATTAGAATTGATAAAATCCATGATTACAGGCAATGATTAAGATATGTTTTAAGACAATAAGGACATTTCGTTTAAACGGTAAAAAATATCTTTCATTCGAAAATCGAAATGAATACGTTTAAACGTGTAACCGTGGGGGGGGGGGCTTAGTTGCAAACAGTATACAGCAAGATTCGACTGCATCACAGACATTTTCGCTGCAGCGATTCGTTCTTTTCTCCGAAAAAACGACAGAGTGCCGAGTCAGAAGGGGAAATCGCCCGGCGCTTAGATGGCCAAAATCAGCCGGAGCTTCGCCGAAGGCCTTCGCCGCAGGGCTTCCGTTCTTTAAAGCAGACAAGAGTCATGTTAACATGGCCATCCCTCGCCGAATGTGTTTGCCCATTGGAAGAATGTTTATGTAGTAGAGCAGAATAATTCAATTTTAAGAGGTCTTTTGGTAAAAAAAACTGATGGCTGAAGTGATTACAGATTTGAAACCTATGTGAATACTGATGGCTGAAAAAAAACAAAGGGCAAAAACTGAATCACTCCTCAATGAGATCTATCCACCTATGAAGTTTCAAGTTGATATCGCAAAGGCTTATTTAGTTATGCTTTGGACAAATGTTAAGCATGAAAAGTAACAAAGAGCAATAACTGAAAAATTATGCAGGGTAGAGTTATCATTCTTGTGTGCTGCACTCCTCCTCAATGAGACCTATCCACCTATGCACTTCATGTTGATATCTTAAAGGCTTTTTCAGTAATGCTCTGGACAAAAATTAAGCATGAAAAATAACAAAGGGCAATAAATGAAAAATGCAGGGTATGTTATCATTTTTGTTTGCTGCACTCCTCCTCAATGAGATCTATCCACCTATGAAGTTTCATGTTGATATTTTAAAGACTTTTTTAGTTATGCTCTAGACAAAAATTAAGCATGAAAAAAAAACAAGAGGGCCATGATGGCCCTGAGTCGCTCACCAGAAACAACTGCTTTTCAGAGTTGGAAATTATTCATTGTCAATAGATTCTGATATTAAATTTAACATAAAATATGTTTAAACAATAATTTGAAGAAATGCCATGACCTGGGGCATTTAAGCTTTAGCTTAAACGGCGCAAATCCAATTAAGATGAGAAAACTTGATAAAAGACTACCTAATATTGCTACAAAGTTTGGTGATCATCTATCAATTATTTCATTAGGAAATGTTCAAAGGTTTTTCTATTTTTTGGCTTAAGTGGCCCCTAAAAGGGGCCAATTAAATAAATATGAGCATACTTGATAAAAGCATACCTAACAATGCAACAGACAAAGTTTGGTGATCATTCATCAATTAGTTCTGTAGAAATTGATGTTTAAAGGTATTTCTATTTTTAGCTTTAGCGGCCCCTAAAAGGGGCAAATCAAATTAATATGATCACATTTGATAAAATATGATAAACAAGATCATCAAGGAAAGGCGGCGTTCAATGAACACAGCCCCCACCGATCCAGTAACAAGACCCAGTGGCAAGGAGCCCAGGAGGACCCCAAACAAAAACAGGGAAGGGCATACGGCAAAGTACGGGCAGGCAAGCCACTACTTAAGAATAAATAATTAGAAAGTGATAAGAAACTAAAAGAAAAAAAAATGATTGAATATTAGGCCCATAAAGACAAAGGGCACAGGGGAGGGGACATGAGACCCGGGGAGGGGGGGGGTAGAATAAATAATAGCTAGGGGCTAAGGGGAAGAAACTTATCGTAGACGAAGACTACCCAAGAATGCTACAGACAAAATTTGGTGATCATTCATCAATTAGTTCGATAGAAGAAGATGTTTAAAGGTTTTTTCCTATTTTTTAGCTCTAGATACCCTTAAAAGGGGCAAATCAAAGTAATATGATCAATCCTGATAAAAGACTAATAAAGAATGCTACAAACAAAGTTTGGTGATCATCCATCAATTAGTTCTGTAGAAATAGACGTTTAAAGGTATTTCTATTTTCAGGTTTAGCGGCCCCTAAAAGGGGCCAAACAAATTAATATGAGCAAACTTGATAAAAGACTACCCAAGAATGCTACAGACAAAGTTTGGTGATCATCCATTCATTAGTTCTATAGAAGAAGATGTCTAAAGGTTTTTCTATTTTTAGCCCTAGAGACCTCTAAAAGGGGCCAATCAAATTAATATGAGCAAATTTGATAAAAGACTACCCAAGAATGCTTCAGACAAAGTTTGATCATCCATCAATTAGTTCTCTAGATTTATATGCTTAAACGTAATTATATTTTTAGATTTAGCGGCCCCTACAAGGGGCCAATCAAATTAAAATGAGCAAACTTGATGAAAGACTACCCAAGAATGCTACAGACAAAGTTTGGTGATTATCCATCAATCAGTTCTTTAGTAGAAGATGTTTAAAGGTTTTTCTATTTTTAGCTCTCTTGACCCCTAAAAGGGGCCAATTGAAATGACATGAGCAAATTCAAGAGTGACTGTAATAAGGAATCTACTGACCAAATTTGAAGTAAATCTGCCCAGCAGTTTCAGAGAAGAAGACGATTGTTGATGCTTGACGACGGAGTATCTCCCCTTTGATACTGATAGCTCACACCGAGCTTTCGGCTCTGGTGAGCTAACAAAGCGCAATAACTGAAAAATAATGCAGGACAGTTATCATTCTTGTGTGCTGCACTACTCCTCAATGAGATCTATCCACCTATAAAGTTTCAAGTTGATATCGCAAAGGCTTTTTTAGTAATGCTCTGGACAAAAAATAAGCATGAAAAATAACAAAGGACAATGACTCAAAAATTATGCATGATAGAGTTACCATTCTTGTGCACTGCAATCTTCCTCAATATGATCTATCCACCTATGAAGTTTCAAGTTGATACCTCAAATTCTTTTTGAGATAAGCTCCCGCACAAAAAGTATGAAAAAATAACAAAGGGCAAATACTCATAAAAATTATAAAGGGAAAGTTATCATTCTTGTGCACAGCATAAGATCTATCCACCTATGAAGTTTTCATGTTGACATCTCAAGGAATTTTTGTGTTATGCTCCACTCAGTGAAAAAATTAAGTATGAAAAATAACAAAGGGAAATAACTCAAAAAATTATGAAGGGTAGAGTTAAAATGCTCTGGACAAAAATTAGTTTGCAAAAATAACAAAGGGCAATAACTCAACAAAAGAGGGCCATGATGGCCCTGAGTCGCTCACCAGAAACAACTGTTTTTTTCAGTGATTTTTCATATAGTCCAGGTCAACTTCAACTTGCCTCTCTAGTTGTAAGGTTTCCCGACACTGAATTGTTTTTTTCTTTATAGTAAAAATGATAGGAACAAAGTTTGGTTCAATATTTATTTAGGATAACATAGTTATACTAGTCAACTCAACCAGAAAGTTAACATTTCAGGTTAATTATCTTACTCTCTAATAGAAATGGGAAAAATTGTAACTTTAACTACATAGAGGAAAAAGGCAAAAGGTTGTTTTGATTAAATGTATTCAATGAACATGAAAACAATTTTAAATACATTGTATGAAACAGTGCAAAATTACTTTCAACAAGTGATAACCAAGTTTGCAAAATGTGATTCTAAATAGAAATAATTGAAACTGATATTAAAATATCACAAAAAATGACAAATTACATAAAGACAAGCAAGAAATACTTCTAAAGTTGCCATGAGTTCACTTAAACTTAAGGTTTGTTCCTTAATGTAAAATGCAAGTAAAATAAGATGAAAAATAATTTAAGCCATATCTACATTTATGAAGTGTTTTTCTATTGAAAAATTATTTGAATATTACCTAATTAAAAAAAAAGAAGAAAAAAACTGATATCAGGGAAAGTGGTTATACAGCTGGAGAAGACCAGTTCAGGCTAATATCTATCAATCAGGCTATTCTATACATTATTATTATATTCTCATATAATACAACAGATACTGTAAATGAGTCTCAGTGAAAAACAATCATTTATCTGTTACACTGTGACAATATCCCATGCACATGAAACATCAGGTTCAACAGTGTGTCACAATATTTATTGAAATGTGCTTTCTCCAAGTAAGTAAGGTACCAGAATCGAATGTAATCATTCTTTAGGCCTTATTTCATTTCCTGGGGAAAATTCTCTAGAGTGACCTACAAACAAACCTGAAATGATGCAATGCCCACAAACAGAAAGATACAAAGCAGGTGAATGACCCCAAGATCTCTTAAAAGCAAACAGGTCATGACATTAAGACATTCAATCTTTTTTTATGCATAACATGTACTCAAGAGAGAGAAATTTCTTCAAAAAGAAGGAGGTTTTTTAATAGACAATAGACATAGTAGGAAATTTTGAAATGAAAAAGAGGGAGATTTCTTTATTTTCTTTAAAACACCCCATTCTTAGAAAAATAGTTAAGAATTTGACAGGAGAAAGAGGTTGTCTCCCGCTCAAATTTAGGAGAGTTCACATGTATGCATGTACATATATATAGAAACATTCCAACATGAGTTATTTTCCTTTCATTATTAAACTACAATTTGATTAATTACATGGCCCGTGGCATTTCAGCTATAGTTGCTCCTAATAGGGGCCAATCAAATTAATATGAGCAAACTTGATAAAAGACTGCATAAGAATGCTACAGACAAAGTTTTGTGATCATCATCAATTATTTAAGTATGAAATGATGTTCAAAAGTTTTTTCTATTTTTAGTTTTAGCTGTCCCTAAAAGGGGCTAATAAAATAAATATGAGAAAACTTGATAAAAGACTACCCAAGAATGCTACAGACAAAGTGTGGTGATCATCCATCAATTAGTTCTGAAGTAGAAGATTTAAAGGTTTTTTTTTGTTTTTAGCTTTAGCGGCCCCTTAAAGGGCCAATCAAATTAATGTGAGCAAACTTGATAAGAGATTACCCAAAAAATGCTACAGACAAAGTTTGATGATCATCCATTTATTTGTTCTGTAGTAAAGGATGTTTAAAGGTTTTTCTATTTTTAGCTTAAGTAGCCCTAAAAGGGGTCAATCAAATTAATATGAGCAAAACTTGATAAAACACTACCCAAGAATGCTACAGACGAAGGTTGGTGATCATCCATCCATTAGTCCTATAGCAATAGACGTTTAAACGTTTATCAATTTTTTAATTTTAGCAGCCCCTAAAAGGAGCAAATCAAAATAATATGAGCAAACTTGAAAAAAACTACCCAACAATGCTACAGACAGTGTTTGGTGATCATCCATCTATAAGTTCTGTAGAAATAGACATTAAAAATTATTTCTATGTTTTTAGCTTAAGCAGCCCCTAACAGGGGCCAATCAAATTTATATGTAGCAAACTTGATGAAAGACTACCCAAGAATGCTACAGACAATGTTTGTGATCATCCATCAATTAGTTCACTAGAAATAAACATTAAACGGTATTTCTATGTTTAGCATTGGTGGTCCCTAAAAGGGGCCAATCAAATTCATATGAGCAAACTTGATAAAGACTACCTAACAATGCTACAGACAAAGTTTGGTGATCATCCATCCAGTAGTTCTGTAGAAGAAGATGTTCAAAGGTTTTTTCTATTTTTAGCCCTAGAGACCCCTAAAAGGGGCCAATCAAATTAATATGAGCAAACTTGATAAAAGACTACCCAAGAATGCTACAGAAAAAGTTTGGTGATCATCCAACATCTAGAAATAGACATTTAACAGTATTTCTATTTTTAGCTGAAGCCGCCCCTAAAAGGGGCCAATCAAATTAATATAAGCAATCTTGATAAAACACTACCCAAGAATGCTACAGACAAAGTTTGGTGATCATCCATCCATTAGTTCTGTAGGAGAAGATGTTTAAAGGTTTTTCAATTTTCAGCCCTAGAGACCCCTAAAAGGGGCCAATCAATATAATATTAGCAAACTTGATAAATAACTACCTAAGAATGCTACAGACAAAGTTTGGTGATCATCCATCAATCAGTTCTGTAGAAAAAGACGTTTAAAGGTTTTTCTATTTTTGGCTATAGCGGCCCCTAAAAGGGGCCAATTGAATTCATATGAGCAAACTTGATAAAAGACTACCTAACAATGCTACAGACAAAGTTTGGTGATCATTCATCCAGTAGTTCTGTAGAAGAAGATGTTCAAAGGTTTTTCTATTTTTAGCCCTAGAGACCCCTAAAAGGGCCCAATCAAATTAATATGAGCAACTTGATAAAAGACTACCCAAGAATGCTACAGACAAAGTTTGGTGATCATCCATCCATTAGTTCTGAAGAAGAAGAAGATGTTTAAAGGTTTTTCTATTTTTAGGTCTGCTGACCCCTAAAAGGGGCCAATTGGAATGACATGAGCAAATTCAAGTGTGACTGTCACAAGGATGCTACAGACCAAATTTGAAGTAAATCTTAGTAGTTTCAGAGAAGAAGACGATTGTTGACGCATGGCGACGGACGACGGATGATGGACGCCAGAGCATCCCCCTTTGATACTAATAGCTCACCCTGAGCCTTCGGCTCTGGTGAGCTAAAAATTATGCATGGTAGAGTTATCATTCTTGTGCACTGCACTCCTCCTCAATATGATCAATCTACTCAAATACTTTTTGAGATATGCTCCTGACAAAAATGTCGGACGGAAGGACGGACGGAGACTATTTCTTTATCCCCCGCCTGCTTTTGGCGAGGGAAAATTAAACGTACAATGCATTCATCTCTACCAAGCTTTACAAACAGCGGGAACTATACTAATAAAAAACAAACACCACAATAGAATTTCATATTCTATATTACATGTAGCAGCTATCATCTCCTAGCAACCTGAGACATATTATTTCCATTACAATAAAATCACAACCTCAAGTTATCACAACTATAAAGACAGAAAATAATAATAACTGGTCCTAAAAAAAATAACTCAAAGATCAAATATTAGGTAAATGTAAAACAAATAACATGATCACCATTCATTAAAATTCATTACAGCCCCCCCCCCCCCCCCCCCCCCAGTTTTTTTTTTTTTAATCAGAAAAAATATGTTTCTAAATTTATATGCTAAGTGTTTTCATATATTATATGCTCACTTTGAGTAACCAATCAAAGTTCTGATATTGAAGATATAATATTTTTATTTTTGTGTAATTAAACTAGAAAATTCTGATATTAGCATAACATTTTTGTCATTTTGGTGTTTTGTAGAAATAGAAAATTCTGATATAAGCATACAGTTCTGTAACCAATTCTATAACCAAACAGACATTAATAGCTGAGGTTTAATATTTTCAGAAGTAGCCAGCAAGAAACCAATTTCACAGACAAGAAATTTGATTGATATTAAAAATATACATTGATTTTACCTTATTTTTTATTTTCACTCATAGACTACAAATACTTTAAAGGACCATTTAGCCTCAGAAATGGTTATATTTTTTATTATTCTTGGAAGTCCTGTTGCCGTTTTTCTTTAAATATGCTCATTGACCATATAGGTGAACCAGTTTTTACCTGTTTAGCATTATGCCAATTCGTACAGATATAATGATTTAGTACTATGTATATGTAAGTTAGTCAAAATACCACTTTGCTTTAATACAATGTAAAATTTGGTTACTTTTATGACAAATTATTTGACATTCAGCACTACTTTCTGTAGGTTATAATTACCAAACATATTCTAAATAAATTTCTAAAAGTTATAAAGCTATTTCTTTTGAAATGTTGTTGTTGTTTTTTTTAATATTAATCTACAAAATTTGAATTGTTTCATTCAACTTATGGAACACAAATTTACCCTTTCTGAAAAATATAAAAAATATTCCCATTTCTAAGGGTAAATGAGCCTTTAAATCATCTACCTACCAAATACTTTATGTAAAACATGATTATTTATCAAACATACAATAAAATTAATATAAATAATGGTTAAAACAGTTTATTATTACACATATCACAGACATGGAGACAAACTAAATGTCAGGGGTATCACGTTTACCCATTTAAACGGGTATTTCCGTTTTTAACTAAAAACCCAGTTAGGAAACTCAATAACCGGTAACTGAGGTAAGTATTTGACAAAGTGCCGATTTAAAATTAAAAAAAAAAATCTAAACATTACTTAATTTTTTGTTTGTTTGTTTGTTTTGGGTTTTACGTCACATCGACACAGTATAGGTCATATCGCGATGTTCCTGCTTTACTGGTGGAGGAAGACCTCAGGTGCCCTTCCGTGCATTATTTCAGGCACGAACAGGCAACTAAGTAGAACCACCGACGTTCCGTAAGCTAGCTGGATAGCTTTCTCACATGAAAGAATCAAAGTCCCTGTCGGGATTCAAACCCACAGCGGTGAGGGGCAAGTAGTTTGAAGTCAACGACATTAACCACTCGGCCATGGACGCCCCCAGGTAATTTTTTAATTGCAAGATATGACATTCTTTTTATATTTCAGTTGTTTGATCATGTACGGTACATTCTTAATTAGTTACTTTTGTAAGCATTGTGGAGTACAAAAAAAATACGAACAAAATGTCATATCTTGTCATAAAGAAACCAAGTTTATGTTGAAACTTTAAGAATTTTGTTACTACGGGCGATTAAACATTTTAAGTCGCCAATTGAAAGGTTTATCAATTTGGCTAACCGTGACACCCCTACTAAATGTTGCAAGAACATTGGATCACTATATGGAGAAGTATCATAATAAAAACAAATACACATTACCAGCTGTTTAATTTACAAAGTGCAGAGGAAAAATAGTGAGCTTGCTCAAAAGAAGCAAAACTGAGAGAAACTTGAAAGCAAGAAATTAAAATTTAAAAAAAAAAAAACAAAAAAAAGAAAAAGAAAAAAAAAACAAGTACATCACAGATACAAGTTACGCACCTTTTATAGTTATCAGCATTTGTTTTGTAAGTTTAGTTATAAAAAAACAAAAACTAAAAAAAATAATAAAATAAACACTACTAAAGCAGAGATTTTCAGCATGAAACAAATGGGGAAAAAAAATTCTATCAAAGACTGTGGTATTCACCACGTCCCTTCACATCAAAAAACCTCAGTGGAGTCCCTTTAATAATGCAATGAATTTAAAAAATAAATTTTCAATAGTTTGTGAGATATGATCTGTTTCACTAACTTTTAAATATTTAATATATATTCCATAGAGCTGTCATTGATTCAGTGCAAAGCATATCAACAATTTATTATGATATCGGATGACAAATATCAAGGATACACCAATATGTCGATAGTTACCTATAAATACATGTCTGTCCTTCACTTTCCTACCTGTTTAAATGATTTCTGTAAAATACATGTTCTGTACAGTGTCTTTTGTATAAATGTCCATTGCATGACTTTTTTCCGGATCATTTTTTTTTTTTTTGTCATCATTGCTATGAAATATTTCAACAGCACAGTGTTAGACACCGACACCTGCTTCTGTATTTGTTTTACGTGAATTTTCATAATTTCTCAACATTTAATTAATTAATCTAAATTATTGCTGTTTTTTTTAATGTGTCTCCATTATTGATCGAGAGAAAAATATCAACGGTCCATGAATATTGTTTCTATCGATGACAGCTCTAATTTTCAATTAATATTTATGTTGTCATACAAAAACTTCCATTAGGTTTCAATTAAATATCAACAACAGATCTAAATATATTCTGTAAAACAGTTTTACAACAAACTTTTGTTTTCAGACAAAGCTATGATAAAATGTTTATAGTCATAAGAAATTTAATTTCTATTATAAACTTATAAGCTTAATACAGAAAAAATCTTCTTTTAAATAAATAGAGGATATTGAATGAGTTTAATAATGATCTTAATAATTTAATACTAAATTTATTTAACGAGTTGAATAAAATCATATTTTGCGAGCCTCTGGCGAGCATAATATTGTTTTATTCAACGAGTTCAATAAAATTAAGTATTGAATCTACACTTAGAAAATATCATATTTATCACATATCTGATATAATAATGGTTAACAGTGTTCCTACAATTATCATTTTTATATAACGGCTTTATTACACTCCTGTACCTTGGCTTATGTTACTATTAGATACAAACAAAACAAAAGATTTTCAATTAAAAAAAGTTGTTTTTTAGCAAATCACGACTGGGTCTCTCTTTTGGGGATTTCACCATAACTAAAAGAAAATGAATGTTTTAATACTTCAGCACTATCAATATTTTTCCTTTAAAAATCTTCATTATCACTGTCTTGTCTTATAGGTGATGGACTTTCTGGGTAATCCATATCATCTCCCAAATGAACGACTTCACCTCGTTCGCTAACATATGACTGTTCAAAACTGTCCATTCCGTAACTAAAATCACTAACCCTTGAAGTCTGTCCACCCCGCTCTGGAGAAGCATCTTCTCTACGGTCTGGCGACTCGTTACCAACATTTTCATCATCAAATGGTGAAAGTGACATTATAATTTCACCACCGGGACCTTTAAGGTTATCTATTTTATCAGATACCAGTGACCTCTCATTATCAGTGTCCGAGTCCGGTCCGCGCTTTTTCCCACCGAGTCTCGGAATTCTCGATCTCTGACCCTTCTCTGGTGACTTTAACCCCGGTTTTAAATCACTATCATCCCTGGAGTCGTCAGCATATTTGTCGTCCACTTGAGTCCCGGTGGTATCTGCGGAAACATTCAATGTTATGTTTTGTTCACCGATTCTATTAAATGCGTTGCTAGTGTCTCTTAAAATTCTTTCATACAATTCATCTCGACGTTTCTGAGCCTCATCATGCGAGTCATTAATATATCCGCTTTGATCTTGCGACTCGTTCATAGTTGGATCTTGGCTATATGAAGTACTTAAGTACGGTTTAGGCCTAATGTTTCCATTAATTGGTTTCTCCGACACTCCAAATGAACTATTCACATGACCGTTTGATGAAATGTCTCCAGAAAATCCATTGGATTTCGAAAAAGACTTATGGAAGCTTTGAATGTGATCTCGTGCATTTGAGTTGAAAGGTGAACCTTCAGAATCAAGCCCCGCCATGGTTATCAGTTTTCCAAGTCTGTAAGTAAAATATACAGAGAAATCATACACATGAACCATTTAGAGAATCTGGTTTCAATTGAAATTAAGATCATACCATTTTCATTATCCGAGATATGCAATTAAGCAGACTACAAAAAAGAATGAGGTTAAGCTAGTCGAATCATATAAATATTTACCATTAACAATCGATGGTATTTTGTTCATTAAACATATTATTGAAATTTGGAATGCCTTTCTTTTTTTTTGGAAATCAAGGTAATATCCAAGCAATATCTAGCTGATAAAGTGGCATAGTTCTTTTCTACCATAAAATTTATCGCTTATACATTTGATTTTTTTTAAATTTTTCTATCTTAATTATTTTTTTCTATTTATTTATTTATTTTTTTTTTTTTAGGAAAGCAGACTTTTATAAAAACATTCACAATGAAAAAGACCATAAAGTGGCGCATCAGAATTTACTGGTGATGGAAAACCTCGGAATAATTTTTACTTGTGAAATTGTTTATCTATTCAATCAAAATCAAATCTTACCCAGCATCTCTCAGCAGATCGAGAAACTCGTGGAACTGTTTGAAAGAAGCTTCGATGCTCTCTAGTACAGAATCATCATCGAGTATACTACCACGTGATCGCTTCAACCTGCTGTTTTCCTCGCGTAGTTTCTTATTATCCAGTGTCAGCTGCAAGAAACAAAACATGTAGTAGTGCAATTACAAATTTGTAGCATTTTTTTTCATAAAAAACTTATCCATTGTCCTTTTCAAGACACAATTTGCCTCAGAAATCAATATTTTTTTTCATTTTTTATTATTTAGAAATGTTTGTTTGTTTGTTTCATTTTACGCCTTTTCCCAACAATATTTCAGTAATATAGGGGGTAGTTTCTTAACCATCCTTCCTGGAGAGTTACAACAGTACTAGACTACCTTCCTCCGTGCTAAACTACCAAAGCATCTCCCAGGGATCGAACCCACGCCAGACAGGTAACTGGATTAGAAGTAATCGACTCTAACCCCTCGACCACGGAGGCGGTCATTTAGAAATGTAAAACTTGTGTTTAATAGTATTTGAACAACATGAGTTATATGTCATAAAGGTAGCAAAATGTAAAAATATCTAAAATTACTAGGTTCCATAGTTAAATGAAATCCTAAAATAATATTTTTTGCATTCATCTGTATGCAAAAAATTTTGAATCTGTGTCATTACACAATATAACATGAAGGTAAACTGGACAACATTATGTGGCCATATAATGAATGACAAAGGGTTGTCCGTAAGACAGTGCAATTTCAGTGCTTGACAGCTTAAAAGTTATTTCACAGATACGGAACCTGTGCCAATCATGTATTAAGTTCTACTATAATGAAAAATAGTCTGATTGTACCAGCGCCTGGCTGACTAAAATAGCTCTCCCTATTCTTCATGTAGACGAGTAAAGATATTTTTACCTCAACAACTTTTTGCTCGGCCTTGTGTCGTGCTAGCCTCTCCTCATTAATCTGCCTGCGTAACTGTATTATCTCCACCTTAAATATACAACACATAAGTCATTACTGCAGATTGCTAAAACAACAAATACAAATTCTGAACTCTCACACATGGTTGTTTATTCAAAGCCTTGAGAAAAAAAATTTAGATTAAGACTTCAATCATATAATTCTATGACTTCAAAATAATGACCCCTCTCTTCTAAGGAGCACACTTTTATTTAAGGCCTCGCATCATAAAAAGGTTAAATTTGTATGAAAACCTCCATCTTAATGCGGAAATATACCGTTAAATAAGGACTGCTACTTATAGTCATGTTTGTTGATTTAATATGATATACAGATGATCTGACGGTGGAGTTTCTCATGCAAACAAAAACTGTACTTCCGATTTCGCCACAATGAGGTTACAGATTATTATGCTTATAAAGTTCAGTTTGGTTGTCTGGACACCAAAAAAAGATCTGGAGTCGATATGAAATCCAATTTATTAATGAAATGTCACTATTTCTTGTTTTTTGAAATATATTGTTTGTTTGTTTGTTTGTTTCATTTTACGCCTTTTCCCAACAGTATTTCAGTCATATAGGCGGGTAGTTTCCTAACCATCGTTCCTGGAGAGTTACACCAGTACTAGACTACCTTCCTCCGCGCTAAACTACCAAAGCATCTCCCGGGGATAGAGCCCACGCCAGATAAATGCAGCTTAAAAGCTTACTGCCATTGATAAACTACCTTAATTCCTTTTCCTGTGACAGCTGTCGACAGTGCACTGTCGTCCAGTTTAATTCTGTCGAATTCTTCCTGCATGGATGACTCAGTCTCCTCCTCCTCATCGTCGTCATGGTGAGTGATATTAATGGAGGAGTAGTTGAGAGTGTTTTGTGGAGCATAATTCTCACTCTTCTCCATCAAACTTGTGTGTCCAGGAACATGTTCTGGTGGATAACCTCTGAAAATATCAAAATTTCAGTTAACTGATGTCACAGGGTCATTTTTCATAATGTACTTTATATACCTTACAAGTATTATCTTATATGATTTCTAACACATGACAAAAAGACATCCTTAATGACATTCTATTTAAGTCTCTCATTTTGAAAAGAAATCCTTTTTATTTTAAACATATTTTAATGTAAATTATTTTTTACATGATGTATAATGACATCATCTTTCTTTTCCTATAAAAGCAAAATTTACTGACAGCATTTTATTTTTGCCTGTTATTCCATTCAGTTATGATATTCTTTACATCCGCATTCAGATATAGTCGGCTACAGTGAAAATTATATTTGATAAATTACGCTATTGGTTTATCAGAATATAATCATCTGATATATTACAGTAAAACACTGGAAAGCATGAAATACAAACCTGTATCTATTAGCACGTGCAGCCGTCCTCCATGGCAGACCAGGTCCACTTTTCACATCTTCCGAACTGATTGGTTTCATACGTCTACTGACACCGATAGATTCAGCCGACCTAGTTCTTCTCCTTGCTGCACCTGGTGTTATCTGTGGAAATAATTAATATGAACCCAATGTGTGCTGAGTATAACTAGAACTGCCACTGTCATGACATGAATACCACCGCATACCACTTTGTGAGAATCAAGAGTGGTCATTTAGAGCTCAAGGACAACCTCCCTGCCAAATCTGAGGGTAGTAAGCCAGTGCATTGCTGAGTTATGTATTCTACATGTTTTTAGTGGCAAAGATCAAAGTGACCTTTACCTTTGAATACTGACCTCAAAACTGAAACTACCACTGCATGACTTGAACACACACCCCACCCCCAATTCATGCAGCTTTTATGATGAATATATGAGAACATAATTATATGCTTTAAATGTGAAAATATCAAAATAAATACACTGTGGACAGGCATTCTTAAGCACTTGAGCAGACAAGCTTATTGTAGAAAAAGCCCCTGTGACCTTGACCTTTGTTACTGTCATCGCAAAATCATTAGGGGTCATCTAATGGTCATGGCTAAAATCTATGCCAAATATGAAGACTGTGGGTCAAAGGATTATCAAGATATTAGGTGGACAAGCTTTTTTTAGAGTCAAGGCCCTTCTAACCTTGACCTTTAACCTAGTGACCTCAAAATCAATAGGGGTCATCAACTAGTCATAACCAACCTCAATATAAAATATGAAGACTGTTGACCGAAGCATTCTAAAGCAATTGAGGGAACAAGCTTTTTGAAGTCAAGGCCCCTGTGACCTTGACATTAGACCAGTGACTTCAAAATCAATAGGGGTCATTGTGTGCTCATGAATAACCTCCATGCCAAATATGAAGACCCTGGATCAAAGGAATCATAAGTTATTGGGTGGACAAGCTTTTTTATAGTCAAGATCCCTTTGACCTTGACCTAGTGTCATAAAAATCAATAAAGGTCATCTACTAGTCATAACCAACTTCAAAACCAAATATGAAGACTCTATCCTAAAGCATTCTTTAGCAATTGAGTGGACAAGCTTTTTGAACTTAGGGTCCCTGTTACCTTGACCTTTGACCAAGTGCCCTCAAGATCAATAGGGGTCACCATTTTGTTTTTACCAATGTCCATGCCAAATACGAAGACTGTAGGTCAAAGGATTCTTAGGTTATTGGGCTGACTAACTTTTTGATGCCAAAGCCCCTGTGACCTTGACCTTAGATCCAGTGATCTTTGTTATGTTAATTTTGTCCTTATTTTGTTCATAAAATTTTATTGTTTGTTACATTATTTTGTCTATAACTATTTAATGTATAATTTAATAATTGTGTCCATGAAAATCTAATGTCTGTTTAATAACTGTCCATAGAAATTTAATGTTTGTTATTGGATAATTGGCCATTCTAGAACCAACTGACTGTCTCACACAGACTGGTAAATTCAATGTGGCTTTTTGCTGTGATCTGGAGTGAAAACTTACACCAACACCATCACCACATGAAAAATTGTTATGGCCGTGGATAAAGTTGTCTACAGACAAAGAATTAACACACAAACACGAGTCAAAAACAAAAAGTCTGCCCATCTATAAGAAATAGTAAAATTACGACCAAAAAAAAAAGCGTAATAACAACTTGAAATATCATATTGTCACCTTAGTGCAATTACTGATTAAATTTAGAAGGACCTAACAGGTTAGTGCACTAAGGTGATGATTTATAAAATTAACGTCCCTGGTTCAATGAAGTAGTAATGTGGAAAATATTAAAACTGGGAGTAAGAAGGACAGTCTCAAACAAAAACTAATCATCATCACGACATTTTTAGACAGATATCTAATTACACGCAGCAGACAATCAACATTAGAACAACAATAAATGTCATGTGACGAGACTATCAAGGTATACAATAACACTCGGCAACCTATGACAGTGACAACAATCCGCAGACTAATTTGTAATTCTGTCAAGCTTTTATACTACCCTGATCAAGAAATAATACCCCCATAGAAAACAACAATACACTGCTTTCCATTCATGGTATCAAAACAGTTCACAGGCATTGAAAAATATTTTCAGAGTCACTTGTCCTGCAGGATGAGTAGCTTCTAATTCCAATGTGCAGGCAACATTTTTCTAATCGCCCTGCATCAAATTCTATTAAATTCTACTTGTAATTACAAGCAGACAAGTGGAATTTTCAATCTCTGAACAGTTCCCATAAAGAAATAAAGTTATTTCACAACATATTGTAATAAAAATCTCAAATATGATATGAAAATGTACTATATCAAAATAAACAATATTGATTTACAACCTTTAACTGTAGATTAGCAATACTGTATCTTCTGTATTCAGACTGCCTTAGACACACAGTTAAATCTACATACCCTTATACTAACTGGCTGTAGAGACTGCCTTAGACACACAGTAAAATCTACATACCCTTATACTAACTGGCTGTAGAGACTGCCTTAGACACACAGTTAAATCTACATACCCTTATACTGACCGTCTGTAGAGACTGCCTTATACACACAGTAACATCTACATACCCTTATACTGACTGTCTGTAGAGACTGCCTTAGACACACAGTAAAATCTACATACCCTTATACTGACTGTCTGTAGAGACTGCCTTAGACACACAGTAAAATCTACATACCCTTATACTAACTGTCTGTAGAGACTGCCTTATACACACAGTAAAATCTACGTACCCTTATACTGACCGTCTGTAGAGACTGCCTTATACACACAGTAAAATCTACATACCCTTATACTGACTGGCTGTAGAGACTGCCTTAGACACACAGTAAAATCTACATACCCTTATACTAACTGGCTGTAGAGACTGCCTTAGACACACAGTAAAATCTACATACCCTTATACTGACTGTCTGTAGAGACTGCCTTAGACACACAGTAAAATCTACATACCCTTATACTGACCGTCTGTAGAGACTGCCTTAGACACACAGTAAAATCTACATACCCTTATACTAACTGTCTGTAGAGACTGCCTTATACACACAGTAAAATCTACATACCCTTATACTGACTGTCTGTAGAGACTGCCTTAGACACACAGTAAAATCTACATACCCTTATACTGACTGTCTGTAGTCAGACTGCCTTAGACACACAGTAAAATCTACATACCCTTATACTGGCTGTCTGTAGAGACTGCCTTATACACACAGTAAAATCTACATACCCTTACAGTCTTCACGAAAAACTTTAAAAAGCACAGGACATTCGGGCCAGTAAAATATCAAATCTTACTGGACCTGGTGATTTTTAGCCGGACCAAATACATAGATAGGTAAAAAATTGATGGAAACAGGAAAACACTTTATCATGCTTCCCTTGATAATTTTGAAAGAAGCATAATATGTCTTGTATTCTGGGCCATATGTTGACAGCTTTGAAAAATCTTTAAGGACCAAATGTTTAGGCAAAATTGACTAGAATTGAACATGAACAACGCAATTTGCTTTTATTTTAAACAAATCACTTTCACACAAAATATTTACTGAACTCAATAATCACAAAATCATAGCTAAATAATAACCATAATAAACAATGGTTTAATTTCCGTAACTGTACGGTGCGGTACGGAAAATATCCAAGAAAAAAAAATGGCGGCCTCCATTACTCAATACAATTTAGACATCTCTCGCTGTGTTTTGGGACATTTGGTGTAATTAGGACAGAATTGATGGGTTTCATTTTCAAAAAAGGCAAAAAGATCAATCTTTTGGAGAACCCTGCTTCATTATTTTGATGAATTTTTCTTATAATATGTTTTCATGACAAAAAAATATACTGGTCCGTCGGACCACTAACCTTGCAATAATCACCAGACCGATGCTAAATTTAGTGGCCTCGGGCCTCGGAATGGCGTTAATTTCGAAGACTGCCCTTATACTGACCGTCTGTAGAGACTGCCTTTGACACACAGTAAGATCTACATACCCTTATACTGACCGTCTGTAGAGACTGCCTTAGACACACAGTTAAATCTACATACCCTTATACTGGCTGTCTGTAGAGACTGCCTTAAACACAGTAAGATCTACATACCCTTATACTGACTGTCTGTAGAGACTGCCTTAGACACACAGTAAAATCTACATACCCTTATACTGACTGCCTGTAGAGACTGCCTTAAGACACACAGTAAAATCTACATACCCTTATACTGACTGTATGTAGAGACTGCCTTAGACACACAGTAAAATATACATACCCTTATACTGACTGCCTGTAGAGACTGCCTTAGACACACGGTAAAATCTACATACCATTATACTGACCGTCTGTAGAGACTGCCTTAGACACACAGTAAAATCTACATACCCTTATACTGACTGTATGTAGAGACTGCCTTAGACACACAGTAAAATCTACATACCCTTATACTGACCGTCTGTAGAGACTGCCTTAGACACACAGTAAAATCTACATACCCTTATACTGACTGTCTGTAGAGACTGCCTTAGACACACAGTAAAATCTTCATACCCTTATACTGACTGTCTGTAGAGACTGTCTTAGACACACAGTAAAATCTACATACCCTTATAGTGGTCTTCCTGCCGAAACTACTGTTCAGAGTTTTCGTTCTTTTCTTCTTCCCCTGATTTCCTTTGTCTGATGGTTCGTCTGCTTTAATCCATTTATACTGAAAGAAAAATATAATAATTATACATTATAATCATGCATGTTAGGGACACCACTGAAGTTTTTTGACAAGTCACTGGAAACTACTTTAAGAGATCAATATTCAATTTGGTGTAAATCTAGACTGAAAATTTGTGTGCACAATTCACTCACTTTCTTCCAGGATGATTAATCTAATTGAGAAAAAGGGTTCAAAATTGAAAATAACATTTGAAAATAACCATTCTTTAATTAAAATAACATTGTTATATTACAGAGAAATACATTATGGCGGGCTTATGACAAGGATAATTTGTAACAATTCTGCTGTATATAAATTAAACATGAAAAAATATTGTAAGGTGCTGCTTTTAATGACCCCTGACAACACTTATGTATGGAATGATGAGGACAGTAACAAAAACAACCTCTATGATGATGCCCCCCACCCCCCACCCCCCAAAATAAAATAACAAATGGGCCATGATGGCCCTGAAGTCGCTCACCTGTATATAGGCCCCGGAGCGGGGCCAGTTTAACCCCAGGCTTTTATTTGAACAAACTTGGAAGACACTCATTAGAAGATGTTTCACAAAGTTAAGTTTTTACTACACACATGTAATGAAAAACAATGATCTCACCGCCCCCCGTTCCCCTCCCTCCCTCCCCCCCCCCCCCCTGGCAGGGACAATTTTCACCCAAGGGCTTTTATTTGAACAAACTTTGTAGACATCCATAAGAAGATATTTCATGCTAAACATCGAAGCTCTAGCTCATTGGGTTTTTTTAAAGAAGATTTTTAAGTTTTTACTACACACATATAGTTAAAAACAATGACACCCCTGGGGCAGGGCCAAATTTGACCCCACGGCTTTTATTTCAACAAACTTTGTAGACGTTTACTAGAAGATGTATCATGCTTAATATCTAAACTCTAGCTATTTAGGTTTTTTCAAAGAAGATTTTTTAAGTTTTTACTATATGCATATAGGGAAAATCAAGACCCCCGGGGCGGGGCCAATTTTGTTCCCAGGGCTTTTATTTGAACAAACTTTGTAGACACTCACTAGAAGATGTTTCATGCTAAATATCTAAACTCTAGCTATTTGGGTTTTTTCAAAGAAGATTATTTAAGTTTTCGCTATACACATATAAGGAAAATCAATGACACCCGGGGCGGGCCGATATGACCCCAGGGCTTTTATTTGAACAAATTTGGTAGACACCCATTAGAAGATGTTTCATGCTGAATATCTTAGCTCTAGCTCTTTGAGTTCTTTCAAAGAAGATTTTGTAAGTTTTTACTATATGCATATAGGGAAAATCAATGACCCCCTGGGGCGGGGCCAATTTTGACCCCAGGGCTTTTATTTGAACAAACTTGGTACACACTCATTAGAAGATGTTTCATGCCAAATATCTTAGCTCTAGCTCTTTGGGTTCTTTCAAAGAAGAATTTTTAAGTTTTTACTATATGCATATAGGGAAAATCAATGACCCCCTGGGGCGGGGCCAATTTTGACCCCAGGGATTTTATTTGAACAAACTTGGTAGACACTGACTAGAAGATGTTTCATGCCAAATATCTAAACTCTAGCTATTTAGGTTTTTTCAAAGAAGATTTTTTAAGTTTTTACTATATGCATATAGGGAAAATCAAGACCCCCCGGGGCGGGCCAATTTTGACCCCAGGGCTTTTATTTGAACAAACTTTGTAGACACTCACTAGAAGATGTTTCATGCTTAATATCTTAACTCTAGCTATTTGGGTTTCTTCAAAGAAGATTTTTAAGTTTTTGCTATACACAAAAAAGGAAAATCAATGACCCCCGGGGCAGGGCCAATTTTGACCCCGGGGCTTTTATTTGAACAAACTTGGTAGACACTCATTAGAAGATGTTTCATGCTTAATATCTTAACTCTAGCTATATGGGTTTTTTCAAAGAAGATTTTTAAGTTTTTGCCATACACATATAAGGAAAATCAATGACCCCCCGGGCAGGGCCAAATTTGACCCCAGGGCTTTTATTTGAACAAATTTGGTAGACACCCATTAGAACATGTTTCATGCTAAATATCTTAGCTCTAGCTCTTTGGGTTCTTTAAAAGAAGATTTTTTTAAGTTTTTACTATATGCATATAGGGAAAATCAATAACCCCCTGGGGCGGGGCCAATTTTGACCCAAGGGCTTTTATTTGAACATACTTGGTAGACACTCACTAGAAGATGTTTAACGCCAAATAGCTTAGCTCTAGCTCTTTGGGTTCTTTAAAAGAAGAATTTTTTATGTTTTTACTACATGCATATAGGGAAAATCAATGACCCCCTGGGGCGGGGCCAATTTTGACCCCAGGGCTTTTAATTGAACAAACTCGGTAGACACTCACTAGAAGATGTTTAATGCCAAATATCTTAGCTCTAGCTCTTTGGGTTCTTTAAAAGAAGATTTTTTAAGTTTTTACTATATGCATATATGGAAAATCTATGACCCCCTTGGGCGGGGTCAATTTTGACCCCAGGGCTTTTAATTGAACAAACTCGGTAGACACTCACTAGAAGATGTTTAATGCCAAATATCTTAGCTCTAGCTCTTTGGGTTCTTTAAAAGAAGATTTTTTAAGTTTTTACTATATGCATATATGGAAAATCTATGACCCCCCGCCCAATTTTGACCCCAGGGCTTTTATTTGAACAAACTTGGTAGACACTCACTAGAAGATGTTTCATGCCAAATATCTTAGCTCTAGCTCTTTGGGTTCTTTAAAAGAAGATTTTTAAGTTTTTACTATATGCATATAGGGAAAATCAATGACCCCCTGGGACGGGGCCAATTTTGACCCCAGGGCTTTTATTTGAACAAACTTGGTAGACACTCACTAGAAGATGTTTCATGCCAAATATCTAAGCTCTAGCTCTTAAGGTTGTTTAAAAGAAGATATTTAAAGATTTTTCTTTCGGTTGCCATGGCAACCAGAGTTCTGCATGGAATTAAATTCTTTGAACAATTTTTAAAGGTGACCACCAAAGGAACATTCCTGTGAAGTTTGGATGAAATTGGCTCAGTGGTTTATGAGGAGATGTCATTTAAAGCAAAAGTTTACGGACGGACGGACGACGAACGGATGGACGCCGGACGGACGCCACACGAAAAGCGATCACAAAAGCTTACCCTGTCACTTTGTGACAGGTGAGCTAAAAAACAAAACAACAGCCAACACCCTGCCACTCCCCTCCAAAAAAGGACATCCCCCCCCCCAAAAAAAAAACACTAAAAAAATTGTAACCCCACATACCTCAGTATCTTGTCCATTACAATTGATCATCAACTGTTCCATAATAGCATGTACCAAGTCACGATCTGTAATATTATTATATATTATCATAAATGTAACAATTATATAATTGTCTGTATTAAAATACTTGAATAGTGATGCCTGTTAGTTACTGGCCAAAGCAATATGTATATAATGCCAGAGAAAAAAAAACAGGAGAAGAGAAAACAGTGGGCAACAGACAAATTGTAACAATTTTGATAAAATTTTGGTTTAAACATATATATATATTGAAGCTTGATTGTGAAACAAGTGCCTGCACTTTCGAGTCCGCTTCCTGGAACAAACCAGCACTAGTGTCAACATGGTCCTGACCCGACTCATAGGGCTCAAACAAATGATCTCTGGGTTGAGAGGCAGACACCTTAACCACTAGGCAACAGCTCCTCTTGGTGCAATAAAATTATGTTAACTGTATTAAAGAAAGTTACACTTCAATAATATTAAAATAATGTTAGAAAAAAAATGGTAGTTGTACTCTAAAGCAAAGAATCAGAATTATTTATGTTACAAATTTGGATACTCTAAACCAAAATGGAATCTTCTTATAACACTGAAGTTTAATATTTACTGGCTGATACTCTAAAACAAATTGTTACATAATTTATTATGTTTTCAAACTATTCTATAAAATAACATGGTAACCTTATCTAAAGACTGCTTACTTATCAGTGACATCTAAAGTTGTAAAGTCTCATCAAAATGGACATTATAGATATTCCATAATTAGTCAAAGCATGTGTAAACCAAAGTTAACATTAATTGTTAAAAATACGTTTTCTATATTAGCTATTGCAAAAAAAATTAATTTGCACACATAATGTCTCATAACAGCAGGAAATCAAGCTTGGCTTTAATATACAGTTAACAGAATAATTATATACTCATTAATGAAATACTGAGAAATATTAATGAAATAAAATGCATATTTTCATTTTCCTTATTTTCACTGTAAAAATTTATTTTTCACTGCAGTGAAACATATTTTCCATATTTTCATTGGTGTCTTCCCAGAAAACTTTCTTCTAAATTCAGCTTATACAAAAACTTAGGATTTTTCATAGCCATTTTGTGCAGCAAAGGGAAACATGCTATGATAGGATGGTACTAAACTCCTGTGAATTTTGGTGGAAATCCAGCCAGCAGTTTGACCTGTGATAGTCTTGATATGTCCCAACTAGGGATGGTACTGTGCAGTTTTCATTGAAATGCCACCAGCAGCTTGACTTATGAAAGCTTAAGACAAGAATTTCTATCTATAGCTCTGGCTGCATGATAACAGTGCAGTGAAGCTGAACTTGCCAGACTTGACCAGACTCCCTTTCAAATATAAGGACTGAAGACCAAAGTGCTGTTAAGTTATTAATAATACAAGTTATGGTCACAGTGACCTTTGACCTACTGACCTAAACATAACTTGATATCAAAATTGACCTCAATATATTAACCAAAACCAATCTCTTACTTCTGGTGAAACAAAGCCAAATAACCTTTAACTTAAGTACTGACCAGTCCAAATTTATAATTCAAATATTAACTTTTTTTTCTGAACAACATTAAAACTAAACAATAATATTTTCAATTCAATAAACTAATTTTGGGCATTTATTTAATAAACAAACTTATAATTGTTGTTTTTTTCCTAGAAAACATTTTCAAAAACTATAATTTTATCAAGTTTTATCATGCAAATTGTTAATTTAATAACCAATTAATTATATACCCAACAATGGATTTGTCTTTTTCTCTACAAAACAATTCGTTTTAAGTTATAACTACAAACATTTAACATAACAGCAATAAACTACTTCATTTGGATTTAAAAAGTTTATTATATCCAACAAAATCAGCATTTTAATCATTAGATGTGTAGTCTTTACAGAAAAAACAAAACAAAACAAAAACAAGAGCAACACATGTGGTGACCGCTCGTCTGTTAAAATTATAACTTTTGACAAAAATTCTAAGTTACAAAGGGGCATAGCCTCGAACAAATTGCTTTCAAAATTATGCCCCTTATCTTACAAGTGCCTCTGATCAGATAAGCTAAGAAGTTTTCCAGGTTTCATATAGATAAATTTAACAAGAGGGCCATGATGGCCTGGGACTAAAGTCGCTCACCTGTATATTGGCCCTTGGAACGTGGCCAGTTTAAACCCCAGGGCTTTTATTTGAACAAACTTGGAAGACACCCATTAGAAGATGTTTCATGCTAAATATCTAAGCTCTAGGTCTTTGAGTTTTTTAAAAGAAGATGTGAAGTTTTAACTACACACATATAATGAAAAACAATGACTCTTTCACCCCAACCCCCCACCCCCGGGCAGGGCCAATTTTAACCCAAGTGCTTTTATTTGAACAAACTTGGTAGACACCCAGAAGATTTTTTATGTTTTTGCTATACACATATAAGAAAAATCAATGACTCCAGGGGTGGGCCAATTTTGACCCCAGGGCTTTTATTTGCAAAAACTTGTAGACACTCACTAGAAGATGTTTCATGCTTAGTATCTAATCTCTAACTATTTGGGTTTTTTCAAAGAAGAATTTTTTAAGTTTGACCCAAGGGCTCTTATTTGAACAAACTTGGTAGACACTCATTAGAACATGTTTCATGCTAAATATCTTAGCTCTAGCTTTTTAGGTTCTTTAAAAGAAGATTTTTTAACTTTTTACTATATGCATAACCCTATAGGGAAAAATCAATGACCCCCTGAGGCGGACCAATTTTGACCCTAGGGCTTTTATTTGAACAAACTTGTTAGACATCTAAGCTCTAGCTCTTTGGGTTTTTTAAAAGAAGATATTCAAAGTTTTTTCTTTCGGTTGCCATGACAACCTGAGTTCTGAATGTAATTAAATTCTTTAAACAATTTTTAAAGGTGACCACCAAAGGAACAATTTCCTGCGAAGTTTGGATGAAATTGGCTTAGTGGTTTATGAGGAGATGTCATTTAAAGTAAAAGTTAACGGACAACGGACCGACAGCCGTGCCACTTAAATGGACTTAAGGGGTCATTTCTTTTGTTATTTTCTTTTGAGGGCCATGGCCCCTTATTCTATTGTTACGGAATGAACTCCATTGTTCTCTTTTGTTCTGTTTACAGTAACTGTTACATGGTCCTCCTTCTTCTCTTAAATAGCACGGACAGACGCCGAATGGTAGCCGGAAGATAGGGAATTCAAAAGCTCATCCTGATACTTTGTGACAGGTGAGCTAAAAATGTTTAAAATTGAGTAATGGGCTACAGTAACATTGCAGTTTTTTTCAAGACAATCTTCACCGCGGACTTCAATGTCGCAGTGATCATAATTATGATTTTTTTATTTAAACAGACTAGCTAAAAAACAATTGGTTGCATATGAAGCAACCAAAATGACACCATTTTAATTTCATAAAGAAATGAATAAAGTCAGTGTTTTATGACTTAAAATTCAGAATTTTCAAAATAGTATCTGAGCAAATCCTATTTCACTGACTTGCAAACACTAGCAACAATTTGAACTTTTGTTATAACATAAAACATGAAATTAAGGTCATCACTAAAAATGTTTGTTTACAAAAGAAGGCCAATAAAATCTTATACTAAAGAATATAGGCATGCAAGGTTCTGAATATAATGTAAAATTCCTAATAAACGCCTTTCCCCTAATAAAGGCCCCACAGGCTTTTTGATCTGTCAAATCTACTTATCACTTAATCCATAATTTGATTCAATGACATTTAGAAACCATTTAATTCAAGGTTAACACAAAAATGTATCATATGAACTCTAAAACACTTTTAAATCTTGCTAACACTATTGACTTAACATATTTACAATGATTATTGGATTTAGGAAAAAATGTATTTTAATAATAGCCCTCCATTTGGAAAATGTTTAGCCCCCAAGGGCGTTTAATAGAAATTTTACGGTATATGAATTTCTTGTTATAATTTCACATAGAATCGCAGAAAACAATTTTTTGTCTGAAATCAATGTGTTTTAATATTTTGGCACAAATAAAGGAAAGAATTGCTAAATTTATAAGAACTGCAAACAAACAATTTTATAACTGTGACCTTATAATAAATCTATATATTAGCCAAACCCTTTTTTCCTATACACAATTTTTTCTTTACATTTTATTATACAATAAACAGCATAAAAGTTAACCTTTCACCTGCTGAATTTCTCAAAATGGACTTGTCCAGCTTCCATCAATGGAACTGCCCAATATCAATTTCAGGCCCATCAAAATGAAAGTTTTCAGTTGGTTTCAGCCACCAGTATAGAGCCTGGTCAGCTTGCAAAATTCTATTGTTTGACCAGGCTCTATTCTGATGGTAACTTAATTATTCGACAAGTCCATCATATAAAAGTCAGCAGTTAATAGGTTAAGATTAACTTAAGAACATTAAAACACTTTGACACATTTCAACCATAATAAACAATGACACTCAGAATAAACAAGAATACACCAGATTCACTTACTCAAAACATCTAAAATAACAAATAAATCATTTATTACTACATGACATTTATGACCACATTTGTAATTTATATGGTAATGGTACAACAAACTGTCACTGGAAAAAAGATTTTTTAGTACAAGAAGAGTGTTTCCTTTATGTCAGCTATCTGTAATGTCAGTATTCCTTATTACCAGTTTTTCATATATACAGCATTCCCTGATGTCAGTGTCCACTATTGGCAGTAATTCTTATTGTATGCAATCCCTAATGCCAGCATTCCCTTATGACAGTGTCCCCTATTGCCAGCATTTCCTATTGACAATTTTCCCTATTGTCAGCATTCCCTACTGAAAGCATTACCTTATGTCAGTGTTCCTATTGACAGTGTTCCCTTTTGTCAGCATTCCCTATTGTCAACATTCCCTATTGACAGTGTCCCTTTTGACAGCATTCCCTATTGACAGGGATCCCTATTGTCAGCATTTCCTATTGACAGTGTTCCCTGTTGTCAGTATTCCCTATTGTCAGCATTCCCTTCTAACAGTGTCCCTATTGACAACATTCCCTATTGAAAGTGTTCCCTACTGTCAGTGTTCCCTATTGTCAGCATTCTCTTCTGACAGTGTCCCTATTGACAACATTCCCCATTGACAGTGTTCCCTATTGTCAGCATTCCCTTCTGACAGTGTCCCTATTGACAACATTCCCTATTGACAGTATTCCTTATTGTCAGCATTCCCTATTGTCAGTGTTCCCTATTGTCAGTATTCTCTACTGAAAGCATTACCTTATGTCAGTGTCCCTATTGACAACATTCCCTATTGAAAGTGTTCCCTACTGTCAGTGTTCCCTATTGTCAGCATTTTGACAGCTTTACCTTATGTCAATGTTTCCTATTGTCAGCATTCCCTATTGTCAGCATTCCCAATTGACAGCTTTACCTAATGTCAGTGTTCCCTATTGTCAGCATTCCTTATTGACAGCTTGACTACATGGCAGTGCTCTGTATAATCTGTACATTTCAATGAGTCTAAAAACTTCTTACTTCTTCGGACACAAGACAGGCTGAAGTTAATTTGTATCTTGGCCTTTTTAACCAGCTAGACATGTTTTATTATTCCATCCAGACCTATCCATCCTTTATACAAATTTGTCTCTCAAATTACATGCAATTCTTTCTCTCAAAGATCTTTAATTTAATTTCCTTCAACAATCGTGGCTAGCAAGACTGAAGCAGTTTTTTTATATCTTTAAGAAAGCTAGCTTTTGTAATATAAGCATCTGTGTCAAAGTCCTAAACTGTTTATTTGAGCCTCAGTCTCTGTGCATTCTTGTACATAACTTGGAGTTGTAAGGGTGTGAGATGGCATGGTGTAACAGGGTGAAAGATATTGTGTGGATATTGAATGAAGTTGTGTCATGGGTGTATAGGACAGAGTGGAGTTAGAGTTGGGTACAAGATAGTGCTGTTATGAGGATGACCTTAGTTGGAGTGATATTACGGGAATGACCGAAGATATTTAGGATTTGGGGAAAAAATGTCTGTATTTTGTCTGTTTACTAGACCCAATCAAAGAAAGAAAAAAATTGCTGGTGATGTTATGGGATAACCTACGATGGAGTGATGTTATGGAGTGTGAGATAAATGTATGTGGTTGTGTACTGTAAACAATATATATCTAAAATTTTACCTATTACAAACTTACCTATTAAAGGGTTTCGCCGTACATCAAGCACCACCAATGTAGTGTTATACTTGAGAACATCTAGCAAAGCTTTTGCCCCATTTGATGATATCCCATTACCTTGCATGTCAAGTGCTGAAATAATCAAATATTGTTTGTTAAATATAAAAAAATCTTCTTCAAAATACATAGAGGATATTTGTTTGTTTTGCATGTAAGATTGAAATATAATTTCACTAAGTGAACACCTGATGCAATATTTTCACGAGTGGCGTAGCCACGAGTGAAAATATAATAGCTGGTGTTCACGAATGAAATATATTTCAATCTTATATGTAAAACAAATAAATTTTCTTTTTATTTCATGCGTTTTAAGTGATTTTAAGTAATTTTTACTGATTTTGCCGCGTATCGTCGCGCATTCTCCTTTGTGACGTCATCACATCATGACGTCACATCAACAATTTTGAAATAAAGTTCTGTTAATTTTTTCTAATTTTGTTACATTTTTAACATAATGTATGGTGACATCGGCTTTCTTTTCCTAAAGAAGCAAAATTTACAAATGACGGCATTTATTTCTGCCTGTTATTCCATTCAGTTATGATTTTCTTTTCATCCGCATTCAGATATAGTCCGGCTACAGTGAAAATTATATTTTATAAATTTCACTAGTGGTTTATCAGAATATAAACATCTGATATATTACAATAAAACACTGGAAAGCATGAAATAAATGTTATCTCTTGCATGTCAAGTGCTGACATACTTTTTATGTTAAATATCAACGACTTCCTCTTCAAAATACATGTTATCTAAAACTTGTCAAATCTATGTGTGTTTTATTTTTTTCATCTAATCAGAGACTACAAACAAACATTTACAGTCTAACTTTCACTGTGCTCTACCATTCACAGTTAACAGAGTGATAAGTGTGTTGCACTTATTTTTGATGTTGAAACTGTAAAGTTTGTTTATAACCCAAGATAAGCTGAGGAACTAAATTCCAAATTTTTATTGCTGGTGTAACTTTTCTTGTACAATACATGCATTGATTTCTCGGGAAAAAACTCAACATTGTGGTACCTTTAACTAGTTGAAGTACAAAATAGTTTGAATGCATATCATTTGATTTATATCCTTCATGGAAAACTATGGTGCTCAGTGGAGTAATTTAACTACACAGTTAACTGAGTTAACTAAACAGTGAAATTACTTAAAAATAAGAACTCATAAATTGTGAAAGTTCTGTAACTCCTACCTTTTAACCAGAGATCATCTTTTAAAGCTTCTGCTAAGAGTGCTGCCCCTTGATCACCCATCATAGGATTATTGTTTATAGTGATTCTACGTATGCCGGGCATTCTGTCGAGATCTGGTCTCCGGTATCGCAAACTGTCACGCCATGCTTCATTATGCCGTCTAGTTCCCTGGTGCTGAAATTAACAAAATATTAACGAATTAAACAATTAGTTCACAATTACACAATATTCACAATTCCAGCCTCCACTGATAAGATTCCCTAATGCCATACACTTTACGAAAGGCTATGTATACATAATGGTCTCAAGCTGCATGCCTGCAGAGGTGTGACTAAAATACATGTAGTTAAGGAAATTCAAATTTGTAAACAGATTTAAAAAGTTCTTATTTGAAATGTTATGTGTGATTAGTGGCTAATTAATTATTATTTTGCAGTATTTATCACCATATTTCTACTGCCCGACTAACGTAAAGGTTATTTTTGCATATTTTGACCTCCTTTTGGTAATTTACTTGGATTATAAGTGCCATTTGGAGCATGTAAATATCTTTCTTTGTTCACTCCGAAATAATCTACTTTCAAATACATTTTAAAAAACTTCCATGAAAATTAGCTTGAATTTGGAGGCTGTGTGATGCTGTTTTAAATGACATCTTAAAGGGACTGGACCACTGGGGTTTAAAAGCCTAAAGACATAAAGTTTGAATTTCTTACATAAATAAGCTCCAGGGGCACTTAAAACAGACAGATATGCAAAGATAGTTAAGGAATATACTTAGAAATTAATTGAAAGTTGCATTTTTGTGGTTTTTTTTAGTCCAATTTGGATGAAAAGCATTGCAACGCTATTCAGTTTGGGGTTATTTTTAACAATTTGAATAATTATTCTAGAAAAAAAGGAGTGTACTAATGAACTGTAATTGTACACGAAGGTTTATAAATTATTGGTCTAAATCAACATCAAAATGGAACATTTATCTCAAAAAAATATTTTCAGTCCCACCATTGTCAAAATACATTCGTGGAGTCCCTTTAACCTCTTCCTGGCTAGGCAACTCTGTACAGTTTGTCCAGGCAATATAATATTGTAATATAGGCTGACTTAGTAATACTTTAAATTTTCATTCTGATGATCATGGACAATTCCAAACACAAAAAGCTGGACAACTCAATTTAAATATAAGAAGTCATTATGTATTTTTCAATACTAACAAGTGTTATTTATCCACCCCATCCCCTAACACCCAACCCCCACCCCCTAACACCGCCCTAAAAAAAGTTTTCCTTTTTAGCCAGACCAACGTTTAATATTTTGGCACATTTGCTGCAATCCATTCAAGCCCCAATGATAATCAAATATATAGTTTAAGTCTAACTTGGATTTTACTTATTATGTTTAACACCTACAAGAAAATCTTTTGTGTGAAAAAAGCCATAACCAGTAATGTAAACTGTACAATTGTAGAAATTAAATTACAAAACAGACAATCTTTACATATACATATTTCTCCCTTAGGGATTATTTCTATCAAATTGCTTTCATTCAAAGTTTGTGTTTCTGGCAGACAATTACTAATTGCCTGAAAGGCTTGGAATATCAAATTGTATTCTCAAATGGCCAGAATATAACTGGCTTGTTTTGAAATGTAATGGCTATTAGAAATACACCAGATATTCTGCTTTGAGGTAGAAGTGTCTTCAATTTGATGAAACATGCCAATTTATAGATACAAAATGATTATATTTGTTAGAGTAGAGAACAGTCTATGATATTTTAAAATTTTTCGTATGAACCTTCTTATCAATCTGTAACTTCAATCAATCAATACTTATAAGAGCTGACACACCTTCTTTTCAATGGGTAACTATGTATATATAAAACTATATAAATGTCATGATTATCCAATGAAAAGCAACGTTACAAACATGCTTACTTCCTTGAATTTACTATATACTCTACAGTCAACTTGGTTTACTCAGTTTTCCCTTTTTTTTTTGCTATTACGAATGGGGCGTTTTTTTGTTGTTGCTATTTTTTTATTATTAAAGAATGAATATTCAATTACATTTCTGTTAATCTGAACAACACAAAGATTGAAAACATTATGCCAACATGAAATAACATTTCATTAAAAATGAAACAACTCTGTCAATTGACTTTTGCAAACAGCTTTTCTATGAATTGGAATGATCAATAAAGCCCAATTGTTGTGCAAAATAAACACAGAAATGGCATCAATTATCTAGAATCAGGCCACAGTTTGCAAAACGTTTATTCAATTTAAATCCAATTTATTTTCCCAGTGGAAGCTCTATAAAGAATATAATTGCCACGCATTACAAATAGGGGTGATTAAAGCTGCATGCCTCCAGATGAGCCAAATATTTCAAGAAAATCAAACTTCAAGAAAATTGAACTGAGTTTTTAAGTAAAAATAAAGGATTCAAGGGAAATGAAAAATAATTTCAATGTTATGGAAGATTAATATGACCAATTTTTGCAGGGTTTTTTTTCCATCAAATATTTCTACTGTGTTACTAATGCAGTTAGGGCTACCTTTACATATTTTGACCCCGTTTTGGTAAATTACATGTGTTTAGTTTAAAGTCACACCAACACATTCTAGGCAATTAATGTCAACTGCAGGGCTTGCAAAACCTAATTTTGACATAAATTGTCCATTACAATCCGAAGCATTTCTTAACTGCGGGAACAATTGATTTTGCAACCACTCAACTGTCATAATTTTGATAGAAGAGGAAACAGAAAACTACAAATTTAATTTTGCTAGTCAATCACTTGGCATCTTTACTCTAATCACCTTAAGAAAAAAAATATCTAGTGAAAATTTAACCCTAGCCAATGTAATCACATTTTAACACCGTTTATCATTCTTTACTCAGAGTGCTTGATTAAGATCTTTAGAACAATTTTCTCTAGAACAAATTCTCAGACTCTCACTTAATCATGGCATAGAACTGATCAATATAAAGTCCTTGTTATATATTTATATAATTGAAAGCTTATTTAAAAGTTTGGTATCTGGAAAATTTCTCAGATGAAACATTAATTAGTTTGTTTTTTTGTCAACCTAGATATGTGGTTTATGGACTCACTTCAGTGGCCTGCAGGCAGTGTTTCTAAACATCTAAGAACACTTGATCAGTTTCTCACAAAATTATTCTGATCAGTTTTTCAAATATTTGTAATTATCTACTTCATAAAGTTTTCAAATCTCCAACATTTCGAGGGGAGTGGTTAAAGCCCTCTTTATCAAGGAGTTTCTGTTTATTTTTATAAATCACATATTTATCTTCTTATCTTACACTATGTTAGAAGTAAGATAAGAAGATAAATAGGTGATTTATAAAAAATAAACAGAAACTCCTTGATAAAGAGGGCTTTAACCCCTCAAAACATTGGTCCTCAGATTGAAAACTTTATGAAGTAGATAATTATGGATTAATTGTTTCCAGAATGATCTCATAAAAATCAGAACTCATAAAAATCAGAATATAACTTCAAATGTACTTATTTGTCTTTAATTATAAGCACACCATAAATTCTCCATTAGGTGACATTATAAGTCAGCTTCATATACATTAAAGGAACTCCACTTAGGTACAAAAGATAACAAGAGCTGTCCGTAAGACAGCGCGCTCGACTTTTTTATTGCTTGCCAATAAAAAAAGTTTTTGCAGTAAAAGGCAATACAAGAATCTCTGTATTTTTAAAGTGAACAATGGCCATGAGCATTAAGATATTTAGTGAAGAATTATTTTACTGAATTGTGTGATACCCTTGAACACTGCAGCAAAGTTTGAAATGTTTAAGTCAAAAGAGGGCTGGTAAGAAAGGAAAAAAAACTTTTTTAGTGCTTGCCTATAATACAAAACATTGACAGTTAAGGGCCATAATTCAAATAAAATCTTTGACAGAATTACCTTCTCCTGGACATGTTTGGGAATCATGATTGTAAACAAGTATTCCAACTTTCAAATTAATATCTCAAACAGTTCAGTCAAAAAGTGGACTGGTACTAAAAACTTAACCAAGATTCTAAGTCGATAAAAGGCCTTGATTTTTAAAACAAATCCTTGACAGAGTTACCTTCTCTTGCGTACAGATGGGGGTAATGATGTGAAATAGCATTAAAAGTTTCAAAGCAATATCTCAAAGGGTTAAGGCAATAAGTGGATTTTACCCATATTCAATGTATTTTCTAAGTCAAAAAGGGGCATAATTCTGTCAAAAACCTTGACAGAGTTATGTCCTCTTGTCTGTTGATGAAGGTCGTGATGGTAAAACAAGTATGGTCAGTTTCAAAGCAATACCTCCAATGGTTTTGAAATAAAGTGAGGTGGTACAAAAAACTTAACCAAGCTCAATACACTTTCTAAGTCAAAAAAGGGCCATAATTCTGTCAAAAACCTTGACAGAGTTATGTACTCTTGTCTGTAGATGGAGGTTATGATGGTGAACAAGTATGGTAAGTTTCAAAGCCATACTTGTAATACTTCTGAAATAAAGTGGGGTGGTACGAAAAACTTAACCAAGGTGTGACGCCGACGCCGACGCCGGGGCGAGTAGGATAGCTCCCCTTTTCATAGAAAAGTCGAGCTAAAAATTGAATTTCTTATATAGTTCAGCTGTCAGGGCCCTCAATCCAATTTGGGGGAAGCAGGTCGCTACCCTCAGCAGGGGGAATTTTAGTGTATGGGGGAATTTTCCTCTTTTTTTCATGATCAAATAACAAATAAACTTATTTAAACATCAGCTGTTTTTTTATTTACACGCATACTATTTTTTTAAAATCCCAAATAGGTTACACTAAACTGTTCAGAAGTGATTGATAAGATTTGAAGAAAAGTTTTTTTAACACCTTACACCATCAGATCTTTATGCTGCATAGCTTTCTTTATGATTCACCCCCCCCCCCCCCCCCAAATAAAAAAATAAAATAAAAATAAGCATTGTGAAACACATTCAGACAAATGTCTCCATTTCCACTAATATGAACAATACATAAACCTAAAGTAAATTCTATTCATAAACAACATTTTTAGTGTTCTAACACACCTTTTACTAAGACAAAGCTTCCTTTTCTTGACTTTGTATAACATTCGTAAAAATCGGCATCGCGAAAATATGTGACAAATGAAAATTTGTTT